ATTGTTTGGGCTCCAGAGAGTCTCAGACCAGACAGTTAGGAATTGTCTACATGGCGCCGGTACTCGTCCCAGAGGACCAGCATGAGGTGTCATCCTCACACAACAAAATCGTCAGCTACAACGGCAATGGTGTGTCAACCAGAGATGGATAACTGTCATTTTTAGTGACGAGTCACGGTTTCTACTGAGATGTCCAGACGGGAGATCACTCGTGTATAGACAATGCCCTAAACGTTTTTCTGCAAACTGTGTTCAGGAAGTCAACAGATTTGACTTTCATTTACAGTGCTATTTACTGTCTACCTTTTCTACACTGTCTGCTGTAATCATTGCAGTAACTTTGTTCCATGTGCATGTCATGTGATGCCCATAATTGGCAAAGGCCATGATGAAAATGAAAAATAATGAAGGTCCAGGCTCAGAGGGTTCAGTTCAGAGTTTTACAAATTCTTTTGGAAGGTATTAAGTCATTTCTTAATTAGATCAATCAGTGAAGCTTTCTCAGTGGGTGAGATGTCAGTAACCCAGAAACATGGTATTGTTACATGTATCCCAAAGAAGGGGAGGGCTAAACAGTTTATCTCTAATTGGAGACCAGTATCTCTATTAAATGTTACTTAAAAAAAAAGCTTCAGCTTGTATTGCAGAGATTTAACAATCATTGCTGAGGATCAAATCGGCTTCATGGCTAATAGATATATTGGTGACAATATAAGATTATTATATGATGTCATGTACCATTGTGAAAAGACTGACAGGAAGGGTATGCTTTTTATCCCCATAACGAATTTTGCAGGGGGTATTATTTTGGAATTTGTCCATCTGTCTCAGCAAAATCGTCTTTTCCAGAGCAGAACATAAAAAATGTTAAATATCTCTTCACCAAACTTGTCACAGATCGGTCTGGTGGTGTACTGGTGCCTTTTGTTAGTTTTGGATTTCTGAATAAAATATATTTTGCATTTCCATGGCAGCAAGTGTTGAAATTGGAGTTAGTGCTCTATTCAAGAGCAGAACTTTAAAACCTTTTAATACTCTCTTTCCACTTTATGGGTGTTCAAGAACCTCATGACATAAATCAACAGTACTACTCAATTTCCAGTATCAACATTACTGAGGTACATCAAACTGTGGAAGCACTCAGGCAGTCTGTTGTTGATACAGGCATGCTAGTATATGAAAAGTTTACATATGTATGTTTTTGTTAGATCAATATGAAGAACAATTTAACATTTTACATAGTCTTAACTAGTTGAAATATTCATGAAGAGTATTTTACCATTGCGGGGGATATTGACGACTTTGTCTTCATGTTAGATTTCAAAATACACACTGAACAGTACTAGGCATCGTAATTTGATAATGTGACAAAAATGGCAAGATTAATAATGTACCTATTTCAGTAGTTTTGCTTTCCTTATAGTAAAATTTAGCTGATGATGGCAAAGAACAAGGAATTTGCCAAATAGTCCCAAAGTCTGAAGTGCATTTGTGTGTATAATGTATTTAAAAGTTTATCCGAGATCAAGACACTGTTCATTTATCAATTGGCATAAGCCATGGTGTGTTTGTTATGGAAATAACACTTTCAGTAAATGTAAAGGATATTGATTGATTCAGTGCAAAAATACATGTTAGATATGTGTGGTATCAATATTGTTGGCCTATGGAACTTCAAGATAAATATTGTTCATACTGGAAAATTGAAGAAGAAAAACAGAATTATGTTTGTGCTAATTTGGACTTAGAAGTGTGCATATGTGTGTGATGTGATTTCGTTTTTCTGAAAGAGCACTTTACAGAGTGTTAGCACATGTTAATTTCTCACTTTAAGACAGCTAACTTTAAGACAGGTAAAAGGTGGTAATCTACATGTAATACCTTTCTCAGATACTGCTGACTTATGTTCAGTGTCTTTTTCTGATTTGTTTACTGCTGAATTTATGTCAAAGCTAACTTTACCAATCTGTTCAGTTCATGTGGCCAATGCAACATTTCATTCTCACATCCCTGACAATAAACATTTGAGTTGCATTGTCAATAATCAATCAGCAAATATTTATGTACATGGACTCAATTAAACTTGAAGACATATTTCAGGCCAAGTATGTTATATTAGTTGTTTTGCAAAACATCTGGCCTAAATTTCAATGTATGTGGTGAAAAGATTTGCACAGTCGAGCTGGTTATATGGTCAGTTGGTCTCATAAACCAGCTAAAACAAAATGTAAGGCCTGATGTATAAACAGAGGTTAAATCTTGATAGCTATGCAGATTAGTTCATAATGATGTTAAATATCACTCTTATTTATGTTTATATTTCTTCATAAAAGACAGATCAAGTTTCATCTCAAATTGTATTCTTAAAGAACCACTAAACTTTGTTTTTTGTTACTCTTTTAACCATTACTTATGAAAGATTTGTGGTTAGTCTTATGCGGAACACCAAATTTATTCTTTAAAAACTTGGTTGGTTATTTAATACCGAGCGATTAAAAGTGGCCAAAAAGTCGCCTGCTTCCCTCTCGCCCGCCAACGAAACCACAGACAGGTTACGTAACTCTGTCGCCAGAGCACTGCAGTGACGTCATATGAGGAACGATTTTCAGTTAGTTGTATAGAAAGTGTGTAGCACGCTCATCATTTTGATGATTTCTTGACATCAACGATGACATGCGAATCGTTGCTTTGTCGTCAATTGCTCCTAGGGTCGGGCGATGGTGTCCCCATGCACAGATTTCCACAGGACCCGCGGTTAGCTAAATGGGTTATGTTTGTGAGTCTGAAGCGAGTTGTGGAAGCCTGAAGCGATATCTTACTTGTGTTCAGATCGCTTCACGGAAGTTAAAGAATCAAAACTACTTACTAGTTGTAGTAAAATATGCATATGATTGATGACCATAAAGATTTTCTATGACACAACTTGTAACATAGCGATTTCTTCCTCGAAGTGAGGTTGTGGTCGAGTAACAATAATATTGTAAGTAGTATTATATTGACACCCACCTGCGCTGCCACGAGAGAAATTGTTATGTTATACACTTTGTCATGCAAAATCCTATTGGCCATCAATAAAATACATATTTTACTACCAGTAAAAGTAGTTTTAATTTTGTAACTTCGGTGGAAACAAACCTAAATACCATTTATCCTCAGACTGGCGGATGTTCCCGACAGAGCGCCGCCATTTTAAAAATACAAAAATCTGTTAGAATTAATGAGATTATAGTTTGTTTTCATCAAGTTAGAAAATCAAGACTACTTTCTACTAAATAGTTAAATATGTATTGGAATCATAACCAAACCGGATTTTGCATGACACAACTTATAACATAGCGATTTCTTCCATGGAAGCGAGGTGGGGTCGAAAGTCACAATACTGCTTGATAAATTTCTTGCTACATTCCCATGGTTAATGTCCACTCACCAGTATGTAGATACTAGTCAGTAATGCGTCTTTATATTTGGTCTTATAATCCTAATTAGTTTATTATCATACTTGTATGCATTTTGAAACTAAATAAAAGCAGGCGATCTGCTGATACTTATAGTGAATTTATAACAGAACTGTAATATCTAGACATTTTATAGTTTGCCAATGTGAATCATAATTAGCACACACACCCTAGTGCATGTTGTCTGTCTCATTACACTTCACGGCGAAAACAATGATTCTGTTGAATGCTACGACAAATGAATAAAAACAAAATGCAAATATTAAAATTAAAACAGATTAAAGTTATAGGAACAATATCAGGCCATTACCTTGTTAGAGGAATGTATCCATCAATATCCACAAAACTGTTCCAAATGATGTGTCTTTTAACAGTTTAATATCACTGAAAAAGTGATAAATCTTTTCAGGTATTGGTGTATAGTCTCATTGGTCACCCAAGATAGCACACCTGGCAACTAATTGCATAATGTCCTCCTTTCTTTAAAAACAGTAATTTAGTTAGCCAATAATGGGCAATCAATCAATGTATTGCCGGTTAATCCTTTGAAGAAGGGCGTTGTTTTCACATGAACACCGACCGCGACAGAGTGTATTCAGTATAGATTAGTAAATCTACATACATAAACACTACCTTTTGACAATTCCGGCTGTGTAAGATAAAAGTAATTAATCAATCAGCGTGTTATCGATTAATCCTTTGATCGATGTTTATAATGTTGAATATTTACTCAGACACAAGAAATGCCAAATGGGAACCTTTGTCGGGTAATTTAAGTGTGTTACCACTAATTATACCTGTTATAAATTCATTAACTGACCATCAAGTGAATGATGACAAATAACATGTGTAGGTTTATACCACCTAACACGGGTTACAACAAGGGAGTATTAATTGCTGTATTGCATGTGAAAACTTATGGGCCGACACTGTTTTGAGAATACAAACAGATTTTTACATGACATGATTAAATATCGAGGTAAAAAAAACACAGAAATGGGATCAATTTGGATCAGTCATTATACAAATAGGGCCTAACGACACCAATCGATTTTGACAGAATCGTCTATGAAAACAAGTTGTAACTCGGAAACTAGGCAAAGCATCAGACAAAATTAAATGATAGTTGATTGTGAGAACATATAGCTTTCATTTTCCACAACAATTGTCACGATTTCAGGTTTATACAAGCCTGTAAACAAGATAATTTAACCCCTAAAATGTAGATGAATTATGCACAGGCCCTCCAAGCTATTCCTCATATGACGTCACAGAGTCGCGCCGCTCTGATTGGTTGAAATTTCGTTCGCGGGTGAGAATTGTGCACTGTTGTCAAAAAGGTCGATTTAAGTCAATTAAAGGTCGAAATGAGTAGTTTTAATGACAGGGTTTCATTTATAACGATGCGAGTTAGTGATTTATGTATTTTAACCCCCTAGGGTTTATGTGACCTTTAAGGTACCTTGTTATATGAGTACATACTGATTACAATCATGATGTTTTGATAGATCCTATACTTTGATAATTTGTTGTTCAATATTGTAGGGACATGGTTGAGATGATATTGGCCCTCATCTACAAAAACAGCCAAGTGACAACAGATACCATTTGGGGTTTTTGGGGAGATCAATTAGCTGACTCATCATGGATGTATGTTGTGCCTCTACTACACTTCCTTAGGATAGATTCTTCACCATTTGTGAAGCCTTTGAAATCATCATCCTGCCACACAGATGAAGACTGGTGGGGACATGAGGATGTTACAGACAGGATCAATGCCTTGAAGAATAGCAGATTCTCATCAATGTAAGTGTTGCTGTTACCAAAGATGTTGAAAGTACAACTTGGTCCCTGTATAGATGATGCTTCTATACATTTCACACTGAGCCCATGCAGTGTCTTTCATTGTCGCCACCCTGTTTCAGTTTCAAATCAAATCACCTTGGGTTAATTGCATATTAAAATACTATCTAATCAAGTATGTTTCCAAACAGTGAGTGAGTATGCTTTTGCCCCACAATAATCCAACAATATCATGGTGGGAGACACCAGAAATGGGCTTCACACATTGTACCTATGGGGGAATTTGAACCCTGGTCTTCAGCGTGACAAGCGAACCACTAGGCTACCCCACCCTGTTTCCTTGTAGATATCAAAGGTTACACTACAAAACAGACCTTTTGAATGTTACCAGATATGTGTATGTGAATGACAGGTAAGCTTAGTTCATTTCAACTGGGGGCGGTGGGGTAGGCTAGTGGTTAAAGCGTTGGCTCGTCACGCCGAGGACCCAGGTTCGAATACCCACATGGGTACAATGTGTGAAGCCCATTTCTGGTGTCCCCCGCCGTGATGTTACTGGAATATTGCTAAAAGCGGCGTAAAACCAAAACTCAGTCAGTCAGTCATTTCAACTGTTATAGTGAATGCTTAGAACTTGACAACACTTAATGCACTGATAATGTTAAATGTATAAAAATTAATGAGAGAATTTTGAACGTTAGCATCTTTATTATGAGGAATGCATTTCAGAATACAAGCTTGCTACACATTCACCTGATGAAAGAGTAAGCATGTACTCTAAAATGTCCATAAATTTATCTCCCATGTGTGTATTACTTCCAGTGAGTGAGTGAGTGAGTTGAGTTTTACGCCGCACTCAGCAATATTCCAGCTATATGGCGGTATTACTTCCAGTGTGATTATTCAGCACTTAACCTTAACGTTGCCAAATTGATCAAAAGTGGACTTTGCTCAATGTTTTAATATGTATCAATATGCTGTATGTTCTCTTTGTCACTATGTGTGATTTTTGAGAATAAGATTTTGGTTCTATTCTGTTCTGTTCAGTAAAAGGATAAGTAATATGTTTTGAGAAGGGCACAGGAGCTAATAGGAGTGTGCTGTTACTATACTCTGTAGTGACTCTGCCGGGAGATTATAGGATTGTTTAAGGCTCTTTTGGGGTATGTAGATACCAAAACCAGTAGTACTCTTCTGATTTCAAGCACATCTTAACAAATCCCAAATTAAGTAAACAACTCACTAAATATCTCATTCATACAAAATTATACCAAACAATCTTGCAACAAAAACAATAATACCACATTTTACCATTTTAAAAATTGTTATAAATATGTATATATGTTCTTTTAACTTTTTAAATCAGTTCACTCTTTTTATCAAGTTCATTTTTTCACCTTATATATATTTATCATTATTCACTTAATAAATATGTTTTAAACATGGGTTGGTTAAAAAATACAATAACAATAACCATATACTACACCTAATCTATATTAAATTCATAATCTCTAATACTCTTTACCTATTTCATTTTTTTTTTTTCTTTTTAATTTGGCATCCAATTCAAATTTCCCTTAATACTTAGTTATTGGGGTGTTTTTTTGGTAGTAACACCACTCTTTCAAAATTTCTATTTTTTGTTCCCCTCATTTCTTAATAAGTGTACAACCCCATCGCTGAAATACCTTAGTTGTGCGTGCAACATTAAATAAAGCAAATAACTATGACTACCTTACTCCAAACGACACACCCCTTCTTCATTGATAAATGGGCTGTTCCATTATTCTACAGGGCAAAAAATCATTTCCCACACTGCCTACAATATTTTTGTTGGCAGTTTGGGATGTAGGCAGTATTGAACTGTAGGCAGTATGGGACCTAACCGTCTTCCCGGTGTATTCTCTTTTTGCCTGCACTTTAATTGTCTATAAGCGGATTAGGATTAACAGTCCAGTGCCTGCACAATTATAGTCTGTTCAAGTAAGTGGAGTTCACTACCCGGCACCTTGAAGAAAGAATTGACCTTGAGAAACATAGACTCTTGACTAGTCTCACCACTTGTTTATGGTGATACCGGTTTTCATCTGGTGGGATTGTGAATGTGATTATTATGTCATGTGAGTGAGTGAGTTAGGATTTATAGTCACATCAGCAATATTTCAGCCATATCGTGACTTAAAAAGTTACAAACTGATAATAAATGGAATTAAATTACAAAAACCTGTTGACGAAGTACAATAATATTATGTCATGTGAAACAGATTATACAATTGTATGTATACTACTCACACTTTGCTAAGGATCACAAACGATCACAACTTTACTTAAACGTAGATTTATAATTTGTATCCATCATGGAACGAGTCATTGACAAGTACACAACACAAGAGAAATGACAAACTGAAACCTAGGATCCATGCTTACAATAAGCTTTAGATATTTACCACAAATTTGACCCCACATTATAGTTTTCTGTTGAATCCATGATTTGATGCTTAGCAAAGTTTGAATAGTATATAAATGCACAGTGCACATAAATACTTTTTTCCTGGAGTGACATTTAACGCTTATTTTGTGTATTTTTTATCATATTTGTCAGATAATTCATATTCGTATATATGTATATATGCAATATTGTGCATGTATATTATGTTACATGCAATATTAATAAAATTAAAAATGTCACCATATTTTCAAATGACTCATATTCGTATATTTGCGGGTGCTATATGCAATAAACAAAATGTGATAAACTTTATTGTTTACCAGCAAGTGCTGGCATACTTACATTTCTACTATAAACTATAGCTTTAATCCCCATTGTTGCAAGGATTAGTACGGTCCAGTAATTTTAATCCCTAAACAATACGTGCAGGCAAAAAGAGAACACCCTGTCTTCCCATTCTGCCAACATGTTAAAGCAACATGATATGTCCAGTGATTAATGTTAATGTGCTGACCTATTCTACCCTTACTAATATGAAATTTACCAAAAATTAATTGTAGGCAATTTGGGATAAATGACAAAAAAACAGTGTTTCTAGGTATAAGGTATATTAATTCTTTCCGAATGCATTTAATTAATTGGAATTGACAAAATGCAGCTAACAGCTATGTTACTGATATCACCATTCTTGTCTGTTTATGTAATATATATATATTGTATTCTCTTGTACCACCATGGGTGTTTCTTGAGAAATAAACTATGATTGATAATTCGACATGGGAGAAGATGTAGCGATTAAGTTTACCCAAACTTTGAGATGATAATCTGCACAACTAAATACATATGTCAACTGTTTCTGAGAAAAACCAACCCCAAACAATATCATTGTAAATGTCTTTATGTATCTTTAAATATGTAGATACACAGACCAACCAAAACTTTGAAACTTGCCATTCAGTATCACCAATATCATCACGTCGTTTAATTTAAGTGAAACTACATTGATTACCCTTTCTCCAAACCCAACAACATACCCTTCACTGGTAAATGGGTGGTTCCATTATTTTATAGGTCAAAAATCATTTCCCATTCTGCCTACAGTAACTTTTGTAGGCAAACTGGGATGTAGGCGAAATGGGATTGTAGGCAGAATGGGATGTAACCGATCTCAGGAGTTGGGTACAATATGTGTCATAGGGAATTGTTTTACCAGAGCCTTGACCAAATCTATTGAGATTCACATATATAATTATCTGTTTGTGCATACGCTTAATTGATTGAAGCTTTGTCTTTACTCATACATAAGTACACATAGTCACAAAGAAATGTAAACATTAGCAACTTGGGCTGTAACTCTTGGGTTTTATTGTTGTTTCCAATAAACAGTAGATTATATCACACGACTACCCCTGTTTTTCGGTAGTCCTGGGTCTCAGCTGACCCAACTACCAAAGTACCAGACTATAGTCTGTCAAACGAACTTTTTGGACATCCCTTTGTCAAATATCTTCCAAATAACACCAACTGACCACATGCCATTAACGTATATCTTAATGACCCCCTTTGACGTAATAAGAAAAAATAGTTTTAACTTTGTTGGTCACTTGGGGAAAAAGTTACTTGTGTAACTATAATCAAAATTTCTGTTTGTTTTGTATCAAGAGATTTGGTGTAGTCGCAGTAAAAGTAACAACTTACGGGTTAGGTCAGAGCGCAATTCATGTGCATCACCTCAGGTCATCATTACAAGTGACTTGGAAGGACAGAGTTGTTACCCTCAGGATAATTTCCCCATGTTAAGCAAAGATATGCAAACTTTGATCAAGAATGTGTATAGTTTTTTGAAGAATGAAGCCGAAAGAGGACATTTTTACAATCTATCACAAAGTTTATAGAAAGAACAGTGTCATCATTAAAAATAAAGCGTTTATGGTGTTATCTGCCCTGATCAGGTAATTGACAGTAGTCATTGACTGTCTCAAAATCAAAGTCTTCAGTAAAGTTGGACACTTTCAATTTGAGACTAATCAGGGACATAATTCGCAGTTTATATCAGAGAAACCAACATCTCTCGTCAAGAAAACTGAAGAAAATTCCTGAAGATGAACACGACGTTTGCATTTCCATATTTACAATATGTTAATTATTAGTGAAATTAGGATTTCGTTATAAACGAATATCCAGCCCAAAAGTTACACTCTGTGAAAGAGGTGATCTCGTGAGACTGAGGGCCAATTATCTGAGAACAATATCTAAAAAAAGAGAAAACAGCTGTCAAGTAGTCTATTTGGATGAAACATGTATTAATGCTAACCACACCCCTTCATATCAGTGGCAGCACTCTGACCCCAAAGAAAACAGGAAGATTCCTCCAGGCAAGGGTTAGAAACTTATCATTGTACACGCAGGGTCACATCTGCGTTTCCTACCAGGATGTGACTTGGTGTTCAGATCCAAATCTACTGATGGTCGTCGCTATCACACAGAGATAAACTCCACAGTGATCGCAGAATACGTCACAGAGCAGCTACCAAGTGTTTGGTGGTGATGGACAACGCACCATACCACAGTGTTAGAGATGCCCTGGAGAAGACTCCTATCTCCGCTTCCAGAAAACATGAGATGACTTCTTGGTTGTCCAGGCATGGTATCAACTTTCAAGCTAAAGCTACTAAAACTAAACTGTATGATATCATACTAGCTCACAAACCAGCCCCTGTTTACTTGATTGACACCATGTTGAAAAAGTATGGTCATGAAATTCTACATTTGCTGCTCTATCACTGTGACCTTAGTCCAACTGAACTGATCTGAGGCGATTTAAAGGATTCATTTGCACGAAAAAATGTTTCTTTGAAACTCAAAGACGTGAATGAAGAATTGGTAACAATATCACCAGAATTATGGCAGCAATGTGTCACTCATGCGATCAAGGTGGAAGAAAATACTGAGTTAAAGATGGTCTACAAAGGAATCATGTCCAACCCATCTTGATCAATCTAGACTGATGGAGACACTGACACTGGTAGCTCTGATTTGAGACTGACAATTGTCTGATGGTCTGACAGTGACTAACTTAAGTGTTGTTATTGTATAATGCATTTGAGACGTTCATTTAATATAGACATGTAAACCTGAAGCCCACGCTAATGTGACCCGAGGTGCACGTGAATTGCGCTCTGACCTAACCGTGAGGTGTTACGTTTACTGCGACTACAGTAACTTTTTCCTCAAGTGACCAACAAAGTTAAAGATATTTTTCCTTATTACATCAAAGGGGATCATTAAGATTTATGTTAATGGCATGTGGTCAGTTGGTGTTATTTGGAAGATATTTGACAAAGGGGTGTCCCAAAAGTTGGTTTGACAGACTATACCTGAGTTACCCATCCCAGCCATACACCAGGACCACATATAAATTGTTTGTAGTATTTTCTTCAGTTCCTTCAAATATACTACCTCACCTTCATCATAGCAATTATTTCTGTGTAATTTCTGTTCCTCACACAACACCCCTATAAAATCTTAAGATTTCCTACAGAAGTCCTCTTAGACTCACGTTGGCCTATGATTTGCAAGGTGTTCAGATAGTTATGCTGAATGAACCAAGCTTGTAATTAATAATTTATTTTACAGTTCCATTACAGACATAATCAATGACCTAGAGTACCTATTTGATGTGGACTACTTACTGCCAAGAACAATCATGGCAAGCGCAAAGTATGAAGATTTACTTGGCATTGTGAAACTACAGAAAGTGCCCCCAGAGGTTTGCAGTGGAACTCTGTATTACTTCTGTTGCTCTAACGATATCTATTATGTTGAAAGAAAAATGTTGGTAAGTTTCAAGTTTTCATGTTTCTCAGACAATCTTGATTACTTTGTAAATGTGAAATATGACAAAAAGACCATCTGAAGATGAGTAATATATGGAAGTTTGAAGTATTTGAAACATTAATTAACACTGTAATAATTAGTTATGGCGAATCAAGCCAAACAAAGTGTTACCAAATCCCAAATATGTGTCTGAAAGTTATCTAAAGACTGTTTTCATAGCATATTGTGACATTCCTTTTTGCTTTTCCAAACTTTATAGAACTATGGAGAATTTCTATTCCTAACTATTTAGACTGATTTCATCCATATAGTATCATTATGACCTCTTCACGTATTTAGCCTACTTTCCTGTTTAAACCCCATTCAGTAAGACTTGAATAAAGTCTAGAGCTAACATTATACACAATTAAAGATCTGTTAAGTATATAAAAGCAATAAATGTCTTCTCAACAAATAACAAAAACATGTTTGAAAAGGGCATCTTTTCATATTCCTTAGCCATCAGTGTGTTGTAACAACTTTTGTTCCTGATTTTGACACATAACAAATGACCATACTGTGAACTAAAATTTCTTAAACAGCCATTTTGTACAATATGGAAAATGTAAATGTGTGGTTTGTAGTGGGGCTAAACCCATGTTCCATTTTTCAGGCTAATTTTGGTTTGACTTTTGTTCAGTGATTACACTTCTAAAGTCTCTATTCATTTCACTGTAAACATCATTTAGTGGGAAACCATTTGACTAATGAAGGCAAAATTTCACATTCTTGTCATTAACATTTATGAAACACTCATTTTCTCAAGTGGTTGAATAATAATAATAACAATAATATATTGTCTGCTTGTATTGTGCTTAAACTGCATGCATTGCATGCCCAAAGCGCTAACAGGCATCAGGGAAAAGGTGGGTTTTGAATTTGCGTTTGAAGAGTTCACATGAAGAAATGGTTCTGTATGAATCTGATCCACCATAGCAGCCACATGGAAAATCTGTTTATAGCTATTGCTGAGTCATTTTCTTGAACATGTGATGACTTTTGGTATGTTTGTTTAAAACCACATGCTCTTTATTTTTGTTATATCTCAAATTTTGACCTTCTTTTACCATCCTCTTAAAAAGGAATATTTTACTCTGAAACATTAATCCTGTAAAATTAAGAGCATGCTGCTGACGTCCTATTCAGGTGAACTAAAGTGCTGTGGCTTTACTTATTTGTACATGAGATGCATGTATGAGTTTTTCTATCTTTGGGTTTGTGTTAACAGTACATTGTCAGGTGTATTGATGAGGTTGCAAAGAAGTTCAAAGATGAGAGAACAAAACTGACGTGCCCAGAACACACCTCGAGGTAAAACAGTGAGCTATTTTCATTTATAACAACTTTTAAGCATTTTTCAAAATATTTCCCCATGATGAATACTCATGATTGAGTTGATACTGTACTAATAACTGATTGACATTGTAGAATTATTGCCAGATTGATGTTCAGCATTTTGATTTTGAATACTCTATACTGGTGCAACCTATTATGTTTTTAGCTATGTTTTTATTTTCCCATAAAATACTTCTTCAGAACTACAGGATGCACTCAACTGAATGTCTTTGAAGGGCAATCAACATACAAATATTTTTTTCATTTTGAAACCTTCGTTTTAAATCTTTTCTTGATAAAAAACTAATACTATGTGCAATTGTCAAATTTGATGTATTTCAGATTTTCACAAGAAGACTGCACGGCACACAGGAAAATGTGTTTAAAGATTACAACAGATCTACTAGAACTGTGCTTAGATAATGAAAATCAGTACATTGAAGTAGTGGAAGCTGTTGCCCGTCTCCTTGCCTCCAGTGTGTGTGAATGCAGCTCACATGACACCAAGATAGATAGTGGTCAGCAGACAGAACTCCAGACTGATCTGTCACCCTTGTGGTTTCAACTCCATGACTGGATGAGGCAAAGGATATCTTCAGTGACTGACTGTAGGAAATATATTTTGGTAAGTGGTACTTCAAGACTCAAAGTGGTCTCCTGGTATGTCTTCATCTCTTGTGAAGCAAAGTGTAATTCATCGTTTATGTTACTACAGTGAAACTATGATAAGTGGTCATTACTGTTCCCCATGAAAATGCACAGATTTCAAACTAACAAATGTTTTACTTATTTTTTAATCTTTTGGTTTTACAGACTTGCAAAATTCCATAATATCTATGCTAACTTTACTTTGCACTGTAATTGTCTAGTAGAGATACATGGTAATGTGAAACTCTTTAACCATACAGTTTTTTAAAAGAATCTTTGCCTACCTGTTCCCACAAATAATGACATCCTAGATCTACCTATAATACGAGTTACAACTTTGTAGGTGAAAGTACACAGACAATAGCTGCAGAGTTTGACTTAATGCTATAGCTGTTCACAATGTTTTAATTGTAATAGTGTATTTGTTTGACTACTTGAGAATTATTTTTTGCTTTTGCAGGGGTACAACACACTGATGCACTTGGACTTTGGCTCAGATCATCTGAATACAGAGTGGCAGACTGTCCTACTTGATGCGGTTGAAGACATTTTTTCAGAGGTAATGTTTGCAAATGCATTTAATGTCATCACTTTGAACAATAACTGCACTTTTCTTTCAAAATGTTTTGTTGCATTCACATACTCTAGGTTTACAGAAGACTGGAAGTATTTCTTCCATAATGCTGTCTGCTTCACACAGTAGGAATAGACAATTACTTGTGTTAGATCAGTCTGTTTTAATGTACCGTTGCCAAATCAGAATACAGAAATATGCACCAGCTTCCCATGAGTCCATTGACCCCCTCTGTGGTGTAGTGGTTAGAGCGTCTGCCCGGAGAGCGGAAGGTCGTGGGTTCGATCCCCGACCGCGTCATACCAAGAGACGTTAAAATATGGTACTTGTTGGTCCCTGCCTTGCGCTCGGCATTAATGGGTACAACAAGGACTGGTCGGCTCGGAGTCAGTATAATGTGTCTGAGTGGGGTATTCATGTTTCACTGCGGCATGGTATCTCAGTTGGCTAGCACTATAAAACCAGCTTAAGTCTGGGCTGGTACAAGCAGCCACACATACACATACACACGCATGCACGTCGTCATATCAGCGAAATATTCTCCAGCACGACATTAAACCCAATTTCACCTCACCTCACCCATGAGTCCATAAAAAGATATTAAACACATATGGCTACCATTGCAGTGGCTATTTTCTGTCATTGTTCTCAAGTTTGGCAGCAAACAAGATATTTCTTACATGGTGAAGAATTGTGATTTTACTGGTTTGGAACAAGTGTTTTAAACAACTTTGACAGCAACATAAATCTGATTTATAGTCTGTTTGGCTCAAAAGCGGACCGATGAATTGCAATCTAACTCGAAAACTAATAAACATAAAATACTCAATGAAATGCTGATCATAATCAAAACATCATACCCACTTCTGTGAGGTTTTTGCAGAATTTTTGTCCTAAAAATAAAAACGTTGTTTAACAATCTATCATTAAAATATTGACACAGTTCACTATTTGTTACGAGGGAGGAGTGCAGAGAAAGGGACAGCCAGGTGTTCGAGAACGGATGGAGGTGGCACAGCACAGGTTAATGAATAAATAACTGTCTGTGAACGCGCTTCTCGAACACCTGGCTGTCCCTTTCTCTGCACTCCTCCCTTGTAACAAACAGTGAACTGTGTCAATATTTTAATGATAGTTTGTTAAACAATTTTTAGGACAAAAATTCTGCAAAAACCTCACAAAGTGGGTATGATGTTTTGATTATGATCAGCGTTCCTATTCCTAGGAAGCTTTAATTAGCAGAAAACCTTGACAAAACAGTGAAAAGAGTTGACATTCTGCGTTTGGCTGACTGTCCGTGATGTTTTATAAAAGACTTTGCTTCTGACTCTGCAGTGATAACACAAATGCTTTTAACAAACAAGGGCAACCTCAGACAATTCTGATTCTTTTTCATTATATTCATATATAGCATATGTGACCTTTCTAAATTCAGCTATGGATTAAGATTGTTGTGTGGCCATAAAGAAATAAAGACAAAATGTCATCTGTGTGATAAAAGTATTCCACCAGCAACAGCTTATCTGACAAATGGGAGATCAAAGACACAGATTACCAAGTCCATAACTTTTAAACAGTAATATTTTACTGATATATTAGGTTGAGATAATTTGGGTTGAACCCAAATTAAGTTCATCTAAAATGTCTAAAAGGAATTTCTATTTCTTTTTCACCAATGTCAATACCGGGTCTAGTGGATGCTGAAACAAAGTTTCACCATCCTGTCACAGTCATGCTGGTTAGGCTCACCATCCTGGCATGGTGATGCTGGAAGCTTATGTTAAGCTCACCATCCTGGCACAGTTATGCTGGTTAGGGTATCATCATCCTGTCACAGTCATGCTGATTAGGTTCATCATCCTGTCACAGTCATGCTGGTTAGGTTCATCATCCTGTCACAGTCATGCTGTCATGTTAGGTTCACCATCCTGGCACAGTCATCATCCTGTGGTTAGGCTCACCATCCTGGCACAGTCATGCTGGTTTGGTTCATGCTGGTTAGGCTCTGACACAGTCATCCTGTCACCTGTCACAATCATGCTGGTTAGGTATCATCTCATCATCCTGGTTTGGTTCATCACAGTCATGCTGATTAGGTTCATCATCCTGTCACAGTCATGCTGGTTAGGTTCATCATCCTGTCACAGTCATGCTGGTTAGGTTCATCATCCTGGCACAATGATGCTGGTTAGGTTCATCATCCTGTCACAGTCATGCTGGTTATGGTTCATCATCCTGGCACAGTCATGCTGATTAGGTTCATCATCCTGACACAGTCATGCTGGTTAGGTTCATCATCCTGTCACAGTCATGCTGGTTAGGTTCATCATCCTGGCACAGTCATGCTGGTTAGGTTCATCATCCTGTCACAGTCATGCTGGTTAGGCTCATCATCCTGGCACAGTCATGCTGGTTAGGTTCATCATCCTGTCACAGTCATGCTGATTAGGTTCATCATCCTGTCACAGTCATGCTGTTAACAGTTGCATTGGAACCTACAGCTTGGAACAGTCTAGGTGGGACCTCTACTATTGTTATGTAGGGTATTTCTTAAGTCTTGTTAAGGTGAATGTTGGGTGTTTTGCTAGGAATCTGGTGACTGGAAGGACTTTGGTATGGAATGCTGATTGAGATAGGTGAAGGAGTTGGGTTTTCCTTAGGACTGAGATGTTTTGGTTTCGTGTGTGTGTCAAAATGTTCTGCTTAGTACAACTAAGTAAGTTTATGCAGGTCTATTTCAAGTCAGGATTGCAGATTGCTCTGTCTCCATGAGCGGTGAAAAGGTTGTTATCCATAAACATTTCAGGTATTCATATTCCTACAACTACTAAATGCCTATCAAAGATGTATATTTTGGGGTGAATATTATAATAATCCTTTCATTTCTGTGCTCCATGAGGGTATGTCTGTGTTTGTAACAGTTTTGTTTCTAAGAAAAGCAAATTGTCAACTGAAGTTGTACATGAATGAAGCTGCATTGTGTAAGAAACATGACATCTGATTGACTTAAGAACCTATGTATACTCTATTATGGCTGGATGGTCAAAGTTTCATCAGGGCTTCATCTAACATGGACGTGTCATCAGATCTAGACACAGCATTATCTCAAAGTTAAATCTGATGTTGATCAGATTTTGTGAAACTGTTTTGCTTATGAAGCTGATAAAAGTGTGTCCAATTTTACTTACCAGGTTGATGACCAGATAGCAGCATCGACACCACTGGGATATAGATTTGGATACTTAATGTCGAGATTGCTTGAAAATCACTGGCCCAGAGATGTGGATGAAGACCGATACCTCCATCATGTTTTGACCTGGAAACCTCTTCATCATTACTTCAAAAGATTTCGTAATAATATTTTGCTTGTTAACATTGTTTATCCTATGGATGAACAATTTCTTTATTCAGGTGATGTGACATTTCACTTAGATACTTGATACAAGAGTCTGTATGGAAACGTTGCATCACCTGAATGACAAATTTGTTCATCCATAAAGTTTGTCCTTATCTGAATCTCCAACTTTGTTATATACCTCTCAAAGAAATTGTTTATCCTTACTATCCTGTAATGAGAAACAAGTTGACACCAAACTGTTTATTGTAGCTATCATTCATGAGGGATGATCAGGGGTCTATTCTTAACATTGTATATTTGTGACTTTAGCTCTTGTGACAAAATGTCAAGTGAAGTGATGTCATGGCCCGTTTGTCTGGCATCCATCATAAACATAATCCTCTCAGAAACAGCAGGACCAATGTAGGTGAAACTTCACTTGACTGATACAAAATTGGGACTCCGGGATGTGTTATTTTTTTATGAAGATAACAGATGAACTTCAGTATTTTTCTTTTTATAATGTAAATGTTTTGTTAAGATCTGTAAATATTACTGTTAGTTTTTAGTACTCAATATTTATACAATAGTTGAGTTATATAACAATATAGAACAAGTTTTTATGGATAACAACTTCTTTATTTCGTGAGTGCGACGTTTCGATACAGATTCTTGTACTGTTATCCATAAAAACTTGTTCTATATTGTACGTCTCAACTTCTAAAATGCCACTCAAACGAGTTATATAACAGTTAAGTATCATCACTGACCATATCCTTTGATTCTTAAGTTACTGTCTATATTCTGAAGTTACTATCTTACATTTTACATTGTTGCTGTTCAGTTGTATATATCAGGGTGAGCCACAGTGACAAAAAACTTATTCTTTGAGCATATATTTATGCTGATTATAAATTTTATTGGTATCTTAGGTTTCATGCAAATGAATAACCAAACCAACTATTTCTCTTCAGTTGCCAATGATAAGTCAAACAGGCTGCTGTCTGCGATCTGTACAATACGTCTCCTGCAAGCTGTATCACTACTGAAGGAAGTAGTAATATCTCTGTGTGATGGAAACATCCCAATATCACAGTTGGAGTTGATTGCTGATGACACTGAAAGATTTTTGGATCTTCTCATATCACCTGAAGTCTGTGATGAATCTGAAGGCCAAGTGATGAATGATATCCTGCAAATTCGACTGAAAGAGTTGACTGCCTCCAAACACAATTTGAATCAGACCAGTGTCTTCCTGAATTACTGTAAACTCATCCATAATGGTATTCATATTTTCATTACATTCATTTTAAATAATTGCAACTGAGGACTTGCTTTAGCTATGCCTGATTGTTTTGAAAAAAGCAGTTAACTATGACAGATTTCAATATCTATGGTATTGAAAGACCAATTGTTTTGCAAAATGCAGTCCTTCATGGTATTTGTTTTGCATGGCCAGCACATCTGTGTTTAAGTGGTCTTTTCAACTGGATATATTGTTTGCACCTTTAAATCTTGACCGTAATCCCTTAAATTCTATCAATCTGTCCTGGTCTCTGAAAACATCTGGTTGACAAAAATTAGGCATGATTTTTTTTATACATGTTCTCTGATTATGGAAAGATAAAATTAAGTTATGTATAACGTTGTCAATCAGTCCTGAAAATAGGTGCAGAAAATGTGAACTTCAGTTGTATGGAGTCACTAATATTTTCTGCTGAGCTACAGGGCATGACATTTTTGGTATCATTACAGTGAATTCTGAAGAGTTGTCAGTCTTTGTGAAGGACTGGAAAGAGCACATTGAAGCGGATGTACTCTCGTCTGTCTGTCATCCTTTACCAAAAGCAGAAGCAAAAACAACCTCAGTTGATTTGTATCAACCTACAATGAGACACATGCCAGTTTCAGATAATGTGCTGGACATTATACCTCGTCTTGTGCAACTGAATGACAGCATGCTGTTCAAAGAGATCTGGAAGAAAGAGGCACGAAAAGTCATTCATGGATATGCTTTGGAACGTGCTGTACTTCGTGTATGGACTGAAGCATCATCGTCGTGGACAGATTTTTGTCAGAGGTTAATTGATGGTACCAATACATTCAAAGCTGTCCAAAGTCATGTGAAAGTTCTTGATGGTGACTTCAAGAAGATTGAAGAAGAATTCAAGCTAATAGATAAAGCTTGTGAAGAATCACCTGTGAGGTGGATTGAAAAGCGGATTTCTCAGCTTCAGACATATGAGAACATTCGAGGTTGTCAAAACATTGCAAAACTAATAGTGGCAGTTAAAGAGGTATACTGCCTAGGAGGTGAATTTGGACCTGTCATCAAAATCAAAGAGCTGGTAAATACATACATTTTTATTGATATACATGGGATATGTCCACTGCTCAGTTCATAGTATATTCCATAGTAGGATGTTTTGTAGTGGTAGGACAGTAGGCCGACAAGGACATACCACCCGCAGCCAAAACAACCCTAAGCTAAATGCCCCCATGACAAAATGCCCTCAATGGGTAGGACAAAAGGTCCTCAATGAAGACATGTAATAGAATACCAACAAATCTCTTCCAGCACATGGATTTATTCTCACATGAAAATAATATAATATAATATAACATTAAATGGCATATGTAATAGCACAAAATGGGCTTTTTATCCCATTGGGCTTATTGTCTGCCCACCTGTTTTGTATATCTCCAGTTATACAAATTTTCATTGTGAATACACAATGTGTTTCAGAAAGTGGTCAAATGTAACATTTTATATTTAGGATATCACTTTCTCAATAAAGTACAGATTCTAGGTATTTTGAGGTTGAGTCCCATCTAGGATACGAACCCACACTTTCAGTGTAAGGAACCTAATCACCAGCAAACAGTCAGGGATCTAACCTACTTAGCCTCCTTACACAAAAATGGTCTGATAATTAGTAGTTGAGATCATGTACTTTGTGCACCCCCTTTGACAAGTGTAAATTGTCATGGTTCACATGGCCAAGGCTGTGAATATCACAGCCCCACTCTCAGAGTGAAGTATCTAAATGCCAGCACATAAAGCGTGAGCAGATTATGCTAATCTTGCACGTAACTGGGAATAATCTTGTCTGTAAGATGAACAGTGACCACTTCTAATGCAAGTCTGTTCTGCAATTATTGGAACGAGGGACATTTGTATTCAGCAACGTCCATGATGGTGGTGACAGCCTATATTGGGGGGCTATGCAGACTCCAGTTGATTTGGGTGACTTTGACTGTATTTTTAAGGCCACCACAACACTTTGACCGCTCTTCAAACATCAAACATTTGTTAATGAGATATCTGTACATCTCAATCAAAACACATCACTTAATCTCCTTGATCTCTGTACATCTCAATCTGTAATAATATCTCACTGACTTCCTGTACATTCTAAATATATTGCTCATAACCATATTCTGTCATTCACCTGATGAAGGGGCAAGAAGTAGCCCAGAAACATTGTGTTGTAAATATTAAAGAAGTAAATCCATACCATATGTTGTTATGTGACCTTAACTTTATTTGCAAGGTCACCACGACACTTTGACCACTTTTCAAACTGAAATGAAACATACAACTTTATTGATGACAATTTCTTGTGAATTGCATTAAGCGACATTTCGATGTAGATTCTTATATTGTTTTCTAGCTAAAAGTGACTACAACCAAATGGTGAGAAGCATATATGCATGATATGTTGTGACAAGCAGCAGATTAACATTAACAACACTACAGTATGTAATTCAATAAGAAGTGGCACATAAAGAGGCCAGAAGGGAACTAAAAACAACAAATAGCACTGGCGATGAAGCCAATAAACAAGGGGGATTAACTTGTGGCAAGAAGTGGACAAGGTGCTTTGATAGTCTATGGGGTTTAATAATTCTTCATAGGCCGATGGTATGTAGTATCCATGGTCTCTGTTAATCAAAGGTCTTGCCAATATAAGGTAGGGTAATTCTAATGAGGGTTGTTTCATGCCTTGGGTTTGCTGGAGTGAGGTTCTCTTTACTAGGTTAGTGGGATACTGGTTGAGCATGGTGAAGACATGTTGTAGGTGGTTAAGTTCATGTTGAAGGTCATGGTTGCTGGAGCAAATATTCTTTCCGCACTTGGTCAGGGTTGAGATGACACCAGACTTGGTTTTAGGCGGATAGTTAGAGTTAAAATGAATGTACTGTCAGAATGGATGGGTTTTTTTTGTAGACTGTGGTTTGGATTTTGTTGCAGGGGTGTCTGGATACAAAGGCATCTAGGGAAGGGAGTTTGTTGTTGTTCTGTCTCCATAGTGAACTTGATTTGGGGATGTTGGGTGTTGAGGTGCTGGAGGAGTGAGGTGGGATTGTTGAGGACAAAGGTGTCATCCACCTTCTTATACCAGCGCACAAGTTTGATAAGGGAGGAGGCCAGCTTCTTCTTCAAAATGGCTCATGTAGATTTCAGTAAGAATAGGGGAACAACTTTTTAAACTCACGTTTACGTGATATCTCATTCACTGTTGTACCCAATGTCTTCAAATTTGATAGCAGCCTACATTGGGGGATTATGCAGACACCAGTGAATTTGGGTGACCTTGACCTTATCTTCAAGGTCACCATGACACTTTGATTACTTTTCAAACTTATGTAAATGCGATATCTCATAACGTTGACCCAATTTTAGCCTCAGAGCTGGAGAAAATGCCATTTCTTACAAATTTGATGTCAGGAATTAAAGTAACAGGTATAAGGGTAGGGCAGGGTAATGGGTGGGGTACCCAGGTTAGAAAAGTTGGTCCCGTCAAAGCCCTAATGCACACTGATTCTCACAGTGGATGTGTGCATCGGCATCTATACATTCAAATCTACTATGTTCCTGAAATATCTTCAGACTTAGAAGATTCTGAGAAGTGAACATGGCTAAAAACTACATCACACAAATGGTAATCTTCTGTGTGACAAAAAGATAAAAACTAGTAAATATGTTATATTGCATTCTTCTTTTGCGGCGGGGGACATTGCCACATTAGTAGCAAACACTTGTACATGTATTTTGTTCTATCCTTGAGATAGCTGATGTTTCCAATAGAAAATTATATATAATAAATATCTAGTAAATATCTCTGTTGTATTATAAGGGTAATGCTATTTTTGAGGGCATTATCATTTGCAGAAGCTCGAGGTCTTCCATTAACTGCCCGACGAAGGAGCGCAGTTGAAAAAGACCGAGGGCTTCTGCATATGATAATGCCCTCAAAAACTTTATTACCGATGTTATTAACTAAAATACATGGAATTTGTGTTGAAAAGAAAAAGGAAACAGTGAAGGAATTTGACTGTAAGTTTACTCAAAACTAACTTCTGACGGGGTTGACTGACCGAATGCAATTACGTCATCGAACAATCATGTGACGTCACAACAGAACGTGACGATATTTGACCATGGCCTTTGACAAGACTATAGCCTGCAACATGTCAAACTATGTCAGACACAACGTCAGTTTTCAGTGTTCGGTTTTGGTCCAACAGCAACGTTAATGGTGCAATTGTTAAGGTTAGCACCAGCAAGAAAGCCAATATTACCGCTATTTAGCTATTTAAAGCCTGAATTCGAGTGGCTTTGACTTGTTTGCCCCAGAATATCTGCCAGTCCAAAGCCAATGTCGAATGAACTGTAAGCCCACGCAATCACTATGACTTCACTTGACAACAGAACTGATAGTGGCCCGTCATTAAGGTTGAGCGGTCCAATATCATTTGCAGCGGCCCGCACATTTCTGATAATAGGAGGGCCGTTTCATGATAATTCCATGTCTTTTAGCTATAATGTATTTTATCATCTTTGGCACAGAAATCTTTGATCCAAAGAAATATGTTTGTCTGCAAGGATCATGTGTATGTTGAGTTTTGTAGTGTTGTGCACAGAACATCTGAAGTGTTCATATTATGGAAATGGTTGTAACATAAATTTTTAGTTTATGAAACAATACTTTCATGTTAACTGTTCTATGTTTATAGGGACACAGTGAGGATTCCCAAATGAAAAAGCTTGACAAAAATGTCCTAAGAACCTGCAGAATACTCGAAGGGATGGAGAGTCAAGAAAAACAGGACTGTGTCAAAGCTTTCATAGACTGCAAAAATCTCATTGATTGGCTCAGAGAATCCATGCCAAGTACGTAAAACAGCATTGAATTATATAATTACTGGAAGCACACATTCTTGAACTGAATTGTCATACCCTGTGTTATAACCATGGGTATTGCATATTGGTTTTAAACAACATCCACTCAATTTTTCTTTATTTCAGCTACAGTAGATCATTTATAAAGAGACATCAACCTCTTTTTGATGACAAAGTAAAACTCATCATATCTATTCTTACATCAAACAGAGGGAATAGATGTCTCTCACTTTAATTTGCCTTGTTTAAGCCCTACTGGCAACCTTTGCCACTGTAAGGGTCAGTTTCAAATTCTGGTGTAATTGAGCAATAAGTTTATAATACCTCAATGATACCTTTCTTTTACACTTAACATTTCTATCAATAGGATATGTTCCATAGAAAGAAGAATCAATCCTGTGGATGGAATCTTGCACATATCATCAAATTTTCTCTGAAAAGTAATGAAATATATGTACAAGTAGACATGTTTGCTATTTGTCCACTTGATTATTCAAAGATTCAGTACCTCATATATTTGCACATACAGGTAATATATCTCATCTGCTGAAGCAATAATTCTGTCTGTCTGTCTGCCTCTCTCTCTCTCTGCTCCCCTCTCCCTCTCTCTCTCTCTCTCTCTCTCTCTCTCTGTGCCTCTCTCTCTCTCTCTTTTTCTCTGCCTCTCTCTCTGTGTGTCTCTCTCTCTCTCTCTTACTCTGCCTCTTTCTCTCTCATGTCTCTCATTCTCTTTTCTCTCTCTTTCTCTCTATCTCTCTCTCTATATATATCAGTCTCTCTCTTTCTCAGTTTTGTCTAACTTACAGTTATCTTAAACTTAGAACTTGGATTGCTATATTGCTATTATTACATGATATTTATATAACGCACATATCCATGTGACTAGTACATGCTCAAGGCGCTGGTATTTCCCTCAATCACTGGATGTCAATCTCAATGGCACATTGTATTATCAATCTTAATTCCCTAGAGAGCATACAACAGCTTACTCACCCTTTCTCACGAGGGTACCCATTCACAGCTGGGTGGACTGGGACACATTATGAGTCACAGTACTTTGTCCAAGTACACTGCATGTTGCTGTACCCGCAACTAGGTGTTTGAACGTATTCATGTGGCCACCATCTGGTCATATACCAACAGATTCGTGGGTTCTTTTAAGTGCACAGGGTTGTGTACTGTACACTAGGGGTTGTGACAACACTGAAAGAGTTTGCACACAAAGTTGACTCCAAGGTTTTTACACCCTGTCACAGGTGGGCTCGATCCTGACACCTCAAGCTCGATGGATCACTATCCTGGCGCTTTAGCCAACTCGCCCACCGCACCCATTGCTATGTATTCCTTCTTTAGTCATCTCTTTGCATTTGTATCAAAACCTTGGATAACTCTAGGTATTTACAACTTTGACATAGGTGTTTGACTATTTGACTGTTTCAATATCCATAATTCCAGTTGAGTTGCCTCTGTGTATATGATTATACTCTCTTTTAAACAGATGGAATGAAAGAATTGAAGGTATTTGTGGACCTAGCATATCTCTCAGCAGGAGAAGAAGAATTTGAGATAGAAAAAGTCAACTGTTTCCAATCAGCCACAGGAGGATATGCTCCCTTTATCTTCAACACACCATCGGAATCGGATTACATAACATTTCTTGAGAATTGTAAAACTGTTTGGCATGAACTGGAAACCGACAATAAGCTACCTGAGAAACTGGTAAATTTATTTACCAAATATTTTTAAAGAACCACTAAACTTTGTTTTTGTTACTCTTTTTAACCATTACATATGAAAGATTTGTGGTTAGTCTTATCGCGAACACCAAATTTATTCTTTAAAAACTTGTGGTTAATTAATACCCGGCGATTAAAAGTGGCCAAAAGTCGCCTGCTTCACTCTCACCCCCAACGAAAACCACAGACAGAGGTTACGTAACTCTGTCGCCAGAGCACTGCAGTGGCGTCATATGAGGAACGATTTTCAGTTAGTTGTATAGAAAGTGTAGCACGCTCATCATTTTGATGATTTCTCGACATCAACGATTTACATGCCGACTCGTTGCTTTGTCGTTCAATTGCTCCTAGGGATCGGGTGTGATGGTGTCACCATGCACAGATTTCCACAGGACCCGCGGTTAGTGCTAAATGGGTTATGTTTGTGAGTGCTGAAGCTGGCGTTGTGGAAGCCTGAAGCGATATCTTACTTGTGTTCAGATCGGCTTCACGGAAGTTAAAGAATCAAAACTACTTACCAGTTATAGTAAAATATGTATATGATTGATGACCATAAAGATTTTCCATAACACAACTTGTAACATAACAATTTCTTCCCTCGGAAGTGAGGTTGTGGTCGAAGTAACAATAATATTGTAAGTAGTATTATATTGACACCCACCTCGCTGCCAGGAGAGAATTGTTATGTTATTATTAGCTATGTCATGCCAAATCCTATTGGCCATCAATAAAATACATATTTTACTACCAGTAGAAAGTAGTTTTGATTTTGTAACTTCGGTGAAAACAAACCTAAATAGCATTTATCCACAGACTGGCGGATGTTCCCAGACAGGGTCGCCATTTTTTGAAAATCGTAAAAGTCTCTGTTAGAATTAATGAGATTATAGTTTGTTTTCATCAAGAGAAAATCAACTTGTTTCTACTCGTAGTTAAATATGTATTGGAATCATAACCAAAAGGATTTTGCATGACACAACTTATAACATAACGATTTCTTCCACGGAAGCGAGGTGGGGGTCGAAGTCACAATACTGCGCGATAAATTTCTTGCTACATTCACATGGTTAATGTCCACTCACCAGTATGTAGATACTAGTCAATGTGCGTCTTTATATTTGGTCTTATAATCCTAATTAGTTTATTATCATAATACAAAACAATGATTCTGTTGAATGCTACGACAAATGAATAAAAACAAAATGCAAATATTAAAATTAAAACAGATTAAAGTTATAGGAACAATATCAGGCCATTACCTTGTTTGAGGAATGTATCCATCAATATCCACAAAACTGTTCCAAATGATGTGTCTTTTAACAGTTTAATATACGAAAAAGTGATAAATCTTTTCAGGTATTGGTGTATAGTCTCATTGGTCACCCAAGATAGCACATCTGGCAACTAATTGCATAATGTCCGCCTTTCATTAAAAACAGTAATTTAGTTAGCCAATAATGGGCAATCAATCAATGTATTGCCGGGTTAATCCTTTGAAAGAAGGACGTTGTTTTTACGCTAGACAATCGACACGGCAGAGTGTATTCAGTATAGATTAGTAAATCTACATACATAAACACTACCTTTTGACAAATCCGCTGTGTAAGATAAAAGTAATTAATCAATCAGCGCATTATCGGTTAATCCTTTGATCGATGTTTATAATGTTGAATATTTACTCCAGACACAAGAAATGCCAAATAGGAACCTTTGTCGGGTAATCTAAGTGTGTTACCACTAATTATACCTGTTATAAATTCATTAACTGACCATCAAGTGAATGATGACAAATAGCATGTGTAGGTTTATACCACCTAACACGGGTTACAACAAGGGAGTATTAATTGCTGTATTGCATGTGAAAACTTATGGGCCGACACTGTTTTGAGAATTCAAACAGATTTTTACATGACATGATTAAATATCGAGGTAAAAACACAGAAATGGGATCAATTTGGATCAGTCATTATACAAATAGGGCCCTACGACACCAATCAATTGTGACAGAAGCGCCTATGAAAACAAGTTGTAACTCGGAAACTAGGCAAAGCAGGAGACAAAAATTAAATGCCAGTAGATTGTGAGAACATATAGCTTTCATTTTCCACAACAATTGTCACGATTTCAGGTTTATACAAGCCTGTAAACAAGATAATTCTACCCCCTAAAATGTAGATGAATTCTGCATCGGCCCTCAAAGCTATTCCTCATATGACGCCACAGAGTCGCTACCGCTCTGATTGGTTGAAATTTCGCTCAAGGGTGAGAATTGTGCACTGTTGTCAAAAAGGTCGATTTAAGTCAATTAAAGGTCGAAATGAGTAGTTTTAATGACGGGTTTCATTTATAACGATGCCAGTTAGTGATTTATGTATTTTACCCCCTAGGGTTTATGTGACCTTTAAGAAATGGCTTGAGTAATGTACAGAGCTTTCGTGGAAAAAAAAGATGTCTGATAAAATAGATAAATTAGTGAAGCTCTGGATGATTTCTATTAAACAGACAAGCCAACTTGGCTGTTAAAAGGAACTTACAGGTTACACTTTTAGTCTCAGAAGGTGTGAGAATTGTTCCAGATGATAACTGCAACCCAAAATGATGTATGGAATTTGTGAACACATGCCATATATGAATCAAAGAAAATTGTAGCTAAAGGTGATGCATAAAATAACAGCTGTACATGTTGCATCTTCGCTCATACACTGTTTAATGGCCTCTACTACCATTGATCTTGTTTATGTGGTGTTAACTTAAGAAATACCTATAGCATTTTTTGTCATCCTTAGACAATTTTCGATAGGCTTAAAATGTAATTTTTACAGGTGAATAAATAGCAGGTACTTCTATGACATATATCTGAGTGTTTCAGGTTTGAAAAAGACTCACCATAACTGCATGTTAGTAGATATTCACAATAACTAATATATTTGTCTCAATCATTATGGACATTGTTTTCATATATTGTTTACCAGTAATATTTCAGATATGAATCAGGAACATTTCTTCATTAATATAGTTATTCGTATTGTGGATATATTTGAGATGATTGAAGGCTGAAAGAAAATATTATGTAACAAACACTTCTCTTGTTCCTCATAGAGACTGTCCAACCAGAACCTTAGCTGGTTACAAGAAGTGAAAACAATCTCATGGCTCAGTAGAAGAAACATCCCTGACCCAGGCTAACATGATCAACACCAGAGGTGTATACAGGATAGGAAACTTGAATGTTTCTGATATGGTAAGATGTTGTCTTTAAATGTTTTCACTGACCTTGTTAAAGCAAATCTGATTGTTAGGATATAACCTCACTGTGTTTTCAGTGTGGATCTAGGTTACTTTCAAATTGATCAATTTTGTGAATTATCTAAATCTGTTGAATCCTACTGAACTCCCCTTGAATTGATCAAGTTTTATCAATATATAAATATATCAAGTTTTCAGCGAAATATACATTTTTCCTGTTGCCATCCCTGAAAACACTGATAATGTCATTCAAACTAAATATGGAGCTATAAAACTTTGTATAATTACATTGACTATATATTTTTGCCTCCTGCATCTTGTCATAAGAATGTCATATTTGCCAGGTGATGCCTGGTAACCGTGGTAATTTTCAGCCTTTTTCTCTGGAACTGTTTATTGTACTTTCCTGCTTTTTTTCTAGGCCTTGAACAATGTGATCAGTCTGCACTTGTCACCGGAGATTGAAGATAAAGACACTTCAGTGCGGAAGTACAGCTTTGACCAGTTGGTGGATCTTCAGAGTAGGCTCATGCTGGTGGCTGGCCAGGCAGAAAAGGGCAATGAAAATATTGACCAATTTATCTTGGTAACTTTCATATGCTTATCAAAACATCAACTTTTTACAAGTGAAACAAAGTTCCAAATATGAAAAGCAAAATATATATTTTAAGTTTCATTACCTATCGATTACAGCCAGCCCATTTGAAGGTAATGTTGCACAGAACTGTACAAAATGTCAAAATATTACATTATCATTGTTTTCCAATTCCCAGTAATTCCTATTCCTATGGTTGAAGGTCATATGAGAAACAACAGTAACAAACTCTTTATCTTTCATAGGTACTTGATGGAATTGTGCGTTTGGCCAAAACATACATTAGACTCTGCAGTGATGGCTGTGTCCTGTTCAGCTGCTGGAAAGGAGAATTTATTTGTGGACAAGAGAGAAAGGTTTGCTCAGTCTTGGAATTTGGAAAAGGTGAACAACTGAAAGGCCATCGCGGCAAAGAAAATGTTACAAACTTTGTTCATGCCCTTGCAAATGAATTTGAGAAGTTCCATGATGAATGGATGAAGTATGTCAGTAACAAAAGAGATGAATACTTGGAGCTGAACTTCTACACCATTGAGCAGCTGGTGTTCCTTCAGAGAGAACTCATCAAACTGGGCACAGATGAGGAACCTTCTATTCGTGTGTACTCAATGTTGTCTCTGATCAAGCCTAATTGTACACAAGCAGATCTTACTGATGCCATGCAGACAGCTAAAGATGCTGTCTTTGCCAAGCAAGAAGACAAAGGAAAGGAAAGTGAAGTCGACGAGCCACATGTAGAATCTGATGCAAAAGAAGCCTTCATTGATGCCATGCTGGAGAGCAACTATTCTGAGAAACTGGCAAGACTTGCCCTTGAAGCTAATGACCCCAATGACATTGATGGTGGTATGTAATTTACAGAATATTTCTCAGATATTTGACTTAGGATAAAAATCCCAGTGTAGAAAACAATCATATCAACTGACCTTTTATCATTAACAAAATGCAAAGTCCTATCTATTAGAGATGTAGATAGTGTTAGCTTTTGTTATAGTTCTTTATCCATCCATCCATTATTTTTATTATTCTCCTCCTTATCTACTAAATACATCAATATCACTTTCTCAAAAGATGTTATTGTTTTCCTTGATTTGAAAAAGTACACCTTTCATTTTGAGATCATTTACTTCAACCTCTCAACAGTACTGTATGAAACAAACTCCACCAGAAATAATTTAACGGTTAAATAGCTCAGCAGCTATGGTTACAGTATGGAACATCCTTGAATGTGACAGATGTAGGACTGTGTTTACAGCTGTTTTCACACAGTTTGGTCCAGTCAGTTATCTGGGAGCTAGAGGTGTCTATGAGAGCTCCCCTCTCTTCATGACTCTCTTCTCTTGTGTATTACAGGTCTTTCCTCCTCACCTACAACCCCTCACTACCTCTCTACCCATTCTTCCCCTTCCTCCTTATTACAGAGTATCCACATCGCTTTGTGTATTCAGGTCCTTAACCTTCACTTGCCTCAACCAAGTGCCGGTTGAGCCACACCATTTTCAACTCTGTTTTTCTTAAATGTGGCTTTGCCGGGCTATAACCCAATTTTCAAATTAGTAACATACTAATTTTCCATACAGTAACATGAAATCCTCATATTAATTGCTTTGTTTAAACAATACCCTCTGTGAATTATTATAACAATAGCTCCATTACATTTCTCTGCCAGAAACCCTGTACATATTTATGCTCAGTGATGTAATAGAGACAGACAGATTTGATAGGAGGATGTGGTTGTGTGTTTATACAAAACAATAGGCATAGTGTGGTGTATGGAACATCAAGATGAGATCAGTGATGTAATAGAGACAGAAGATTTGATAGAATGATGTGGTTGTGTGTTTATACAAACAATAGGCATAGTGTGGTGTATGGAGCATCAAGACGAGATGAGTGAAGAAGATGAGACATTCAGTGGTTGAACGCTGATGAGCACTCCATGTCATTCAGCAGTATAGTCCTGGATTAGAGAAACCATCTCTTCTGAAACCAGGTCAGTCAAAAATGAAGAAGTCCATAAATATTTTATGAGTCTTTTCTGTGCTGTAGTACTTTACTCTTGTTTGACGGTGGTATAAGAATTAATTTTTGAAATGTCACATCATGATATACCGAGAATAAAGTTAAGCTCCAGCCTATTTCAAAACTAAGATGTCAAGCTGTGGAAATGTTAGGCTGAAATAATTGGGAAGACTAATCCATATTTAGAGAAGGTTCTTCTGGTTACTGATTTACGGACATCATAATCACTTGTATTTTACAATTAAAGGAAATATTGTTAAAGATATGATGGCACTGCTTTTAAAAGCAATATAACTATTCCTATTCTGCTTATACAACACTATTAAACTTAGGTTTCACTTGTCAAAATGACAACCATATAACAGTCATTTCTGATTTTCACTTTTCAATAGAAAGTAACCTTTTGAAGAAAACAAAATGCATGTTTTCCAAAAGCACATACATCCTGTTTAAAGTAAAAGATAATTTCAATAATGGTTTTGTTTTTAAACTAAAAGTACTGAACCAAATTATGATACTTTTTTTTTCTGAAATATTTCCTATGAGACAACCCTATATTGGAAAAATATACTGGGTGGCGCTTTAACTTTTATTCACAGTACAATAAAGAGGGTTTCATAGATAAAATATCCTACCTTTCTTAACATTGAGTATGGTCTCAGATTGGCTAGCTGGACTAATACTCACAATAATTGTAACATGAAAGAAAGTGATGCTAAGAACGATGTGGCATAGACTGATAACCTGATTATAGAACTCCATGTTTGTTTTAATGTTTGATGAAAACATTCCCATAAATCAATCACATACATATTAATGATCTTATTTGGAACATCAAAGAGCGAGATCAGTGATGTAATAGAGACAGAAGATTTGATAGAATGATGTGGTTGTGTGTGTTTATACAAACAATAGGCATAGTGTGGTGTATGGAACATCAAGATGAGATCAGTGATGTAATAGAGACAGAAGATTTGATAAGATGATGTGGTTGTGTGTGTATACAAACAATAGGCATAGTGTGGTGTATGGAACATCAAGATGAGATCAGTGATGTAATAGAGACAAACAATAGGCATAAGATTTGATAGAATGATGTGGTTGTGTGTGTATACAAACAATAGGCATAGTGTGGTGTATGGAACATCAAGATGAGATCAGTGATGTAATAGAGACAGAAGATTTGATAGAATGATGTGGTTGTGTGTGTATACAAACAATAGGCATAGTGTGGTGTATGGAACATCAAGATGAGATCAGTGATGTAATAGAGACAGAAGATTTGATAGGATGATGTGGTTGTGTGTTTATACAAACAATAGGCATAGTGTGGTGTATGGAGCATCAAGATGAGATGAGTGAAGAAGATGAGACATTCAGTGGTTGGAACGTTGATGAGCACTCCATGTCATTCAGCAGTATGTCCTGGATTAGAGAAACCATCTCTTCGGAAACCAGGTCAGTCAAAAATAAAGAACGTAATGAATATTTTTAAGTCTGTTCTGTGCTGTAGTACTTCACTCTTGTTTGATGGTGGTATAAGAATTAATTTTGAAATGTCGCATCATGATATATACCGAGAATAAAAAGTTAAGCTCCAGCCTATTTCAAAACTAAGATGTGAAGCTGTGGAAATGTTAGGCTAAAATAATTGGGAAGATCAATCCATATTTAGAGAAGGTTCATCTGGTAACTGATTTACGGATATCATAATCACTTGTATTTACAATTAAAGGAAATATTGTTAAAGATATGATGGCAATGCTTTTTTAAAGCAAAATAACTATTCCTATTCTGCTTATACAACACTATTAAACTTAGGTTTCACGTGTCAAAAATGACAACCATATAACAGTCATTTCTGATTTTCACTTTTCAATAGAAGGTAACCTTTTTGAAGAAAACAAAATGCATGTTTTAAAAAAGCGCATACATCCTGTTTACAGTAAAAGATAATTTCAATAATGGTTTTGTTTTTAAACTAAAAGTACTGAACCAAATTATGATACTTTTTTTTTCTGAAATATTTCCTATGAGACAACCTATATTGGCAAAATATACTGGGTGGTGCTTAACTTTTTATTCACAGTACAATAAAGAGGTTTTCATCAATAAAATATCCTACCTTTCTTAACATTGAGTATGGTCTAGATTGGCTGGCTGGACTAATACTCATAATAATTGTAATATGAGAGAAAGTGATGCTAAGAACGGTGTGGCATAGACTTATAACCTGATTATAGAACTCCATGTTTGCTTTAATGTATTGATGAAAACATTCCCATAAATCAATCACATACATATTAATGATCTTACTAGTTTTCATGGTATGGTTTCATGGTTTCATCACTCTACCATTTACTCCATGCATATTTATAAAAATTCTTCATAGCAGCGTCCAAGTCTGATGGACTACATAGTCTATGCAACATTCTCTTCAACAGAAGTAATCCAGCTTGTGTTTTCAGAAATGACATAGACGTGGAGACTTTGACCTCCAACTTGAGATCAGTGTGGACCAAGTTCCTGGAAGCTGTATCATCCAGTGTAGCGGATTATCTCAGTCTGGAACATCTTGGCATGATACTCAGGCAGCTGGCTGAAACAGGTGCCTTGGGCTTATAGATATATATTTCTACAAGTAAAGTGCATTATGTGAACCGGCATACAAAAGAAAGTACACACTGGGTGCTTTGGGGTTATGTTCCTAAAAACAACGTTTTGGCAACGTGCACACAATTCTGGTGACTATCGAAACATTTCTTGAAATATTGACATTGTTTTCTGGGAAATAATCCCCAAACACCAGTGGCTGCATGCACATGTTAGGCGTAGCTAACGTCAGGCATAACACACTACGTCAGGCTTAGCAGCGCCCTGCTCTTATGCACAACGTGGGTTAAGCCTAGGCATTACTATGCCCGCGACTTAATGGATTTACGTCGAGGCGCAGTGTGCTATTTTTAAATTTTCGAATGTTTTTAAACCACCGGGAAAAGGCGCAAAACAACTTTTCGGTACATCCGTTTCAGCCGTAATCATGGAAAATCCAAGAAAACCCAACTTTTCCGATGGAGAAATAATATGTGGTGGAATTGCGGTTGGAGCCATAATCAATATCACCTCTGATGGTATCCACTATCTTGAATATGTCAATTCTCATGAATCAAAATCTTCTGTACAGATCAAGGTCATCATATATTTATAATTTTCTCTAAATTTACGGTTTCTGAAGAACTGCGTTCTGTGATATCAGTATTCGACTGCAGCCATTACATTGCTATGCCTGGCATAATTTTAGCTATTTTAGATATGCATACTGGTTTAATGTTACACTCGGGCACATATTTTACTTTTGCCCGGACTGGAATTTATGCCTGACATATGCATATGGTCACAGGTGTGAACTTTCTTCTGTAAGTCAGTTTGTTATAGTCTCTTGCTGACATTACACAAATTTAGACCTTGGCATCATGGACTTGACAGCTGACTGATTCAGGTACAAGCTTACAAGGCATAATTGGATATGGATTTACACATGGCATGATCTGCCTATATAGTCTCTTGATGATACTGGTAAGGCAACATTGGGGGCTTTGACTTGATAGCCTTGAGTATCTGGCTACCACCCATAGTGAAGGTGGGGCTGTGAGGTAGCCTAATGGCTAAACAATCTTCCGATGACAAACAAACGATTAGAATGACGTCACATGCTCAATTATTTTATGCTTGCAAGAAGTAAAGTCATCTACATCAACATGGCCACATCATTGTTTTTTAGTGTTTAATTAAGTTTCTTATTTTATCCGGCTTGTATTATCATTATCACCTTGATAATGCACGTTTGTGCAGAAACTTTTTTGTGGAGGGGTCACCTCGGAGATGAGTAGTGATTTCACTCATTAGATACTTTTCCAAACAACGAGTTGTAAGATAAATGGTATCTGACAGACATTCATTTAGTAATCTGTATTTCAACAACATATGGTGCACGCCACTCGGCAGTGGTATCAGTTACTGGATGACAGTACAACACATCTTGCACTAACATTTAAAAAAAAAACTTGCTTCTGTCGCAAGGTAACATATTTAGTGCTAACATGATCACATACTGAAATCTATCACTTTCAATTTGGGTTGTATACTGAACAAAAATATTTGGGATCATATATAGTTTTTGGTAATTTTTTTAGTGAAGGCTAAACACAATTCCATAAAAAAAATCCCAAAACATATGGACATCATTTGCTGTCAGTGGTAACTTCTTACAGTGAGGCATGGTTGAATAAAATGGAATAACATTCTCCATGAACCCAATTATAACGCTGTATTGGTGATGTATTACGGGTACTAAAGACAATTACTGTAATGTGTTAATTGAAGTGATACATGCAAACATCTGTACCTTTAGTTATTGTAATTCTTTTTCCCCAGGTATTCATGAGGTCAAAAGGACTCTTCCACTACCCCTAAAATCTAAAATTCCAAACCTGATTGTGTGTTCCCATGGTAAGTACAAATAAAAGCACAATATTGGTGATAAAACCCAAAGTTGGTTGTTGTTATTATTTAAGTTTTGCTTCTGTATATCAACTGGTGATCTTATAATTTCATAGATGTTTTGGGAAACTGATATTATTATGTTACATTTTTATCAAGACATACAATTTTCATTTTAAGAAATGATTTCCTCATATTGCATTATTATATCTTAAACTTTGGCAGTTTGTTGATTTTTCACCTTTCTTGCTGCATTGTCATGGTGTTTTGACCTTACATCATTACATGTACATTTTCAACATGCCCTCTAAAACTACAAGGTCAGTGTCACAACATCAAACCTCACAGTAGACTGGACACTGTTATTTGAGCACCAGTTGATAACTCTTTCTGAAACTGTCTGTTGTCTAATAAATGTTGGGCAGTGCATTTGATCTTACCTCCAATCATCCATGTAGTAGAAGTAAACAAAGATCAGATTGGTGAGCAAATAGATATGATTCACTCTTGTTGTATCTCAAGTCACCAATTCATCTGTCAAAATATTTGTCATGGATTTATTTGTGGCCAGTATATCCACAATTAATGAGATTGTACCAAAATTTATTCGAGCTAGGTTATTTTTAGCAACTATCTATTTGCTGAATAGTATTATTACAATTTTTCCTTATCCTGACTCATGCTCTTTTGCTTGTCTTCTTCTTCTTGCGAACATAGTGGAAACACTTGTATCTCCCTAATTGAAGCTCCCTTCAATGTATAATCACTAATTAATACTCACCATGACTTGCCTCCCTTTGTCCCAGCGCGGGAAAGGTGGCGCCACCCTCTGGCCACATGCTTCACTCTTTCCTTCTTCGCCTAGTGAGCAGGATGTGAGAGCGCCTGTGTCTCCCTGCACACTATATCCTTTGATTATTCTTAGTTTATTACCTCTTATTCCTTACTAAAGAGGTGTAGCTAGTATCCTTTAACAATATGTGTTAATTATTACTCATAATTCTACTGTTTATTCACGGTTTTCCGTGATTGTTCAGCTAAGTTTACTTGGATGAAAATCTGTACTGTTTGTAGATTACGTTTTTCTGCTGCTGATCTGCATTTAATATGTCCTAGCTGTACTACGCCTTGTGCGTTTACTTCACGTTGCAGTTATTGTATTAATTTATCCATTTCTGCATTTAACAAATCGCTTTTTTCGCGTCTTGAGGCGATGCAGCAGATAGAGTCACGTAAACAAGCCTTAGGCATGGCCGATACATCGGACCCTCTAGCCAGTCAACTGCTGTCAGACTGACCCCTCCCGTCTGGTGTTCCGCTAGAGATTCGCCCGGTGGGATGCAGTCCGCCCGTCTCAAGAAGCGTCCTGCTTCCCAGACATCCCATCTTCAGCAGCAGAAGTCTAAGAGGGCATCGACTTCGTCACAGCGTAAACTCCATTACCCCAGAGCAGCGTCGACCTCAAGGGAAAGCTAAGAAGCCAGCTAGAGCGTTCTCAGCCGAGATTCTTCCCGCCGCTGAACTGGGCCTGTATGAAAACCGACCAGCCGATCATCATGCCCGATCTACGCCACAAGAAGCTGACCGGTGTCAGCTACAGTAGCGTCAGCAGAGATAAGCCAGCCAGCCTGATGTCTCTACACTGATGTCCGGCGATCATTCTGAGGGCCCGTAAGCTAACATCGCAGAGAGGGCATCGGCGACATCGTCGCGAGACCATCCCAGGCGACATGATACAGAAGATCATGCAGATGATGGAGGACCGTTACAGACTGCAACCAGCCCAGAAGGACCTTCAAGAATGCACCAACGCATGAGCGACTGCCCAGAGGGACACTCCGTCCAGCGTAGAGGGCCACGACTAAGCCACCTTCACGAAGGAAGTCACAGTCTCTACCTCCAGGAAGGACCCAGATGAACAGCCTGCATGAAGGGGTTAGAAGATCATCACCTTCCCGGACTCGGAGGATCATCACTCTTATAAAGATTCCAGAAGGAAGACTTCGATAGATCCTTGGACTCAGACTTCGGACCCCCCAACTTCACGAAAGCCTTCGCAAAGGTCAAGCCGTCACTCCCCAGAACCGGACACAGTTAAGGCTTCACGAAGGACACCAGTAGCAGGTTCTAAATCATCTTCGTCCAGACGATCATCGGCAGATTCCTCAAGGGCTTCACGAAGCTATCAGTGTTCACCTCCACAGAATCTCCATGAAAGTCAAGGCGCGTAGCTCATCAGGCCGATCACCAAGATCATATCGTTCGCCTCGCCGTTCACCTCGCCGATCACCTCGCCGATCACCTCATAGATCACCACATCGATCTCCACACAGATCTCCACACAGGTCTTCACAGAAGTCCCAAGTCAGGTCTCCGTTATCGTCACCATGTACAGCGATAGAACCATATATACACGCCATCACAAGAGCATCAACCTCTTATCGGCGATCCCATTACAGAAGGCGATGGAGGCATCATCTTCTCAGAGCTGAGATACGATACTGGATGGTAAACAACCTAGACCTTTCTTCACCTTCCAAAGAGTAACAACTTCGGCAGACTTATTTGATGAAGGAGGGGGCGATGCTGATGCCATCACCTTACCACCGATGATCGACCCGATTGCTCGCGGTGCCGAAGAATTTGGACTCAGCCTTCCACAAAGCCACTAAAGTCCAAACAGCACATTTACCACAGTTCCATGCTAACAAGTTTTCAACCCACAACATGGAACCGTTCCTCAAAAGGCACAAGACATAGGCGACAACTACAAGTTGATCAATGATGTCATTAACAAGAACTACAAGATTGGCGATCACCAAGTTGGTTCAGTTAGAAACCATGACTAGGCGAATGTTCTTTGGCCTTAATAGATCTAGAGCGATCAATGAGACTCTTATCACCGAGATTTAGGTGACCGCGACATCACAGAGATGATAGAATGACTTACCGGCCCTACTTGCGGCGGAGGAAGGACCAGCGGTTCCTTACCGGATCATCTCATCAGTCTCCAGCAGCCTTAACCTTAGCCCGTCGTCAAGGCCTCCTGCAAGCTTCCTGCAACTGGGGTGAGCAGTTTACAGATCCACTATATACAGCCCGTGGTCTGCTCCATCCATCTTCGATGGAGGAATGAGAAAGTCTCCAAAGGAAGTCACTAAGGATTCTAGAGAAGTCCTTATGATTAAGTCAATGGATCATTAGCCAAGCGTCATCAGACGAACTTCACAAAAGATATTCAGAAATCTAAATTCACTGGATTACAGAAACCCGCCGGGATAAAAGATAGCCAGTTCAGGGGAAAAGATTCTTTTAAATTAAGCCCATTTAGCAACTACAGAGGAGGATCAGGAAGAGGCAGGGCACCAGAGGGTTCCGCAACTATAAGCGGTGAAAGTCAGGTTGGGCGACTGGAGTCTTCCACCCCCAGCCATTCCAGTACAACCCGTCACAGGTGGGTGGGCGCCTTCAACTATACTGGGAGAACTGGGGAATGTTACAAGACCCATATGTCTCCAACATTCTTCATCACGGATATAAGTATCCAACTAAAAGCCCAGCCTCAGCTGACAGTCAACCCTTACAAGTTAGAGCTTCCAGACACAACAACTACCAAAGTTAAGAGGCCATTGCTTCCCTCCTGAACAAGCAGGCCATAGAAATAATAGATCATGTACACATCGAACCAGGTTTCTACTCCCCAGTTTTCCTAGTACCCAAGAAAAGCTCCAAGGAGAAATACAGACTCATCTACAACATGAGCACGTTCAGCAGAGATTATCTCATAAACCACCAAGGTTTAGCATGATACATCTACCCCGAGTTACGACACTTAATCCGTCCATGGATTACATGGCCAGCATAGACCTACAAGATGCGTATCTACACATCCGATACATCGAATCCGAAGAAATACCTCACGATTTACACTGGATGGGCTGCATTACCAATGGAAAGTACTCCCATTCGAATATCATCAGCCCCATGGTTATTTACAAAGTATGCTTGAAACCCATGCGTCACCTACCTACATCGTCAAAGGGTTACGCGAGTCGTTCTACCTCGACGGCCGGGATACAAGTAGATCAAGATCCACAGCGTCTCAAACTACAGTTAAACTACATCATCAAGCTACTAACACAGCTGGGATGGTTAGTAAAATCTACTCAAGTCGGACCTAGTACCTTCGCCCAAGATCTGCAGTTTCTAGGCATTCGATTTATCCGCGGCGGCTCAACCGTATCGTCGTTCAGAAGACCGCTGGCTCAAGATCAACAGACCATTCCACCAAGCTACTCTCTCGTTACCACTCGACAATGGCAGAGTCTATTGGGTCTCCTCCGTCAGCCCAAGATTTGACACTAAGAGGCAGGCTACAGTTCGCCCATTACAGGTCTTCATCAGCGCTCATCTCGGCCGATCTACAACCATTCAGTCTACGGTGCACCTCAGACCTCATCTACTATGGTGGACCAGGAGGTCGAATGTCTCGCGAAGGCATCTATTTAACAGAGCCAGAATTCCAAACCCATCTCTATGTAGGCCGGCGTGGCTCCAAGGTTGGGGAGCTCATCTACCAACCGGACGACATCAGGCATATGGAATCAGCAAGAAAGCAAGCTCCATATAAACATGTTAGAGATGGCGGTAATCAGCGCCATCGTCATTGAGTACCATTCTACGACAGGCACATCTGATGATTCATACCGACAACTCAACAGTGGCATATTATGTGAACAAACAAGGCTTAGCGAGATCATCAAGCCTATTGACTGTATGCTTTCAACTGTTCGATCTAATCAGCGATCTCAACCTACATGTCAGAGCATGTCACATTCCCGGAACCAGAATGTACTAGCAGGCGCACTCTCGACCACGCCTACCGGCACCGACAGAATGGATGCTCCATACAGAAATCTTAAGCACAGATTATCAAACAATTAGGAGGCGCCTAGTAGACCTATTAGCCGCTTTCGATTCAACAATCAGCTAACGACATTACCGTATCACCTGTCCGGATCCACAAGCATGGGCAGCGGGCGGCTCTAAGCATATCCTGGGAAGGCCTCAGCGTCGTGGCGTTTCCGCGCCAGTGCTAATCCCTCAAGTGTTACAGAAAATCAGACAAACACAGAGGCTACAACTAACTTTGGTCGCGCCCTACTGGCCAGCCAGAGCGTGGTTTCCCATTCTAATTCAAAAATCGGACAACCAACACTAAAGCTACCAAAGCTCGAATCTACTAGTACATCCTCACACCAAACAAGCATACGAGCCAGAAGTGTACCAACTTCGCATTATGGACTGTATTAAAGTGTGTTTGAACAAGAGGGATATTCTACAAAGGCGGCAAAAGCAGTCCGCAGCTTGCTTTTCACGGCTATTCTACTGTGGCTTATCACGGCGACAAGTGGCAAAGTTTGAAAACTCACGCGGCAAAATTGGATTTACAGCGAGAGATGCTACACATCCACAAGTGGCTGATTATCTGTGTTACCTCGTCAAAGAAACATTTGAAGGGCTCGACATTGTCAACATATCTTGCGGCGGCTTAGCTTCGATTACGTTACCATGAGCGGGTGTCAAGTTAGCGAAGGCGCCAGAGTTACTTTCGCCTTGCTACGCTCTTTTAGTTTGGAAGATCAGAAAGTGAAATTCCGGCGCCAGCGTGGGATCTAAATATAGTGCTTCAACACCTCACAAGTGAAAGTTATGAACCGTTAGATTCAGCGAACTTTGAACTTCTCACACAGAAAGCGGTTTTCCTGTTATGCAGCTAGCTCACGGCAGCCAGGATGTCTGAAATTCACGCACTAGATTACGAGAGGATTCAGTTTGATGACAATCACAACACAGTGCACATGGGTTTCGCGATGGGACTTTATAAGCTAAGAATCAATTGCCAGGTCAACCAGACAGATTATTCCATATCCCTGCACTATCCTCGATTCTCGGATCTCAAGATCACGTTGGACTTATCTCTATGCCCAGTCAGAGCTCTCAAAATCTATCTACAACGTTCCAAACCAAGGCGCCGACATCTCAAAGCGATTATTCATCCCTTTAAGCGGCGACAAAGTCAGACCCGAGGTCTCGTACCACCATATCTATATGGATTAGAACTGTCATACTCTTGGCCTACAAAGGCGGCTGGACTGAACCCTCCAAGAGCAGCAAATCCTCGCAGAAATCAGAGCCTTAGCTTCACGCTTTCAGCGCTTCTACGGTAACTGCTCACTAAATACCATCATGGAGGGATGGTTTTGGAAATCCGACATGGTGTTTGCTAATCACTATCTGAGAGATATCACCACGAGGGCGTCTCAGGTATTCACCATTTTGGTCCTATGGTCCTCGCACAGCAGTTGACAGGTCCCTCAATTAGACGATAAGACATAGTCTTACGAGATTATTATGTATATCTATACATGTATTATCTAGCTTAAAACTCTACGGAGTTGTTAGGGCTATTGATATACCTAGCTTAAGTCAAACCTTAAGCCCAGTACTGATATTTATGTACATTTTGGATAACTTCTCCATGTTGGAGTAGTATATATACTTATTGCTATGTTCATAGTATGTTTTTGTATAGTAATACCCCATTTTGTCTATGGCAGTGTATAAACTTATAGTTTATAATAGCAGAAAGGATTACAATTCAGTGCCATTATAAGTTCCCGTCAGGGGGTTATTACAGATATATATACAGTAGAACACGGATATAACGAACACGGATATAGCGTACAAACGGATATAGCGAACAAATTTAAAAGTCCCGTCAACAGTCCTTTATAATATCATTAAAATTATACGCGAATAACGAACTCGTGAGTAGCGAATTAACGGCTATAGCGAACTGATTTACTACCCCCAAGCCCAACTAACGACGTGATTAGCGAACTCACTCAGTGTCAGCTCAGTGTCAGCTCAGCCACTTAGCGGTATACGTCAACCTTGTTGGCGGCGAATCAACATTGTTCGATGGTCATTAACGTGTTTAACATTAATGTCGGTGAATGATAAATTCAGAATTTTAATGTTATGTCAATGTACATGTACAAGAATAAATATGTGTAGCCTCAGCCTATACGTGTCTCTACATCTCTACAATCCAAGATGGCGGTCAAATGTGAATAACGAACACCGGATATAGCGAACTAAATTTCGTGGTCCCTTGGAGTTCGTTATATCCGTGTTCTACTGTATATATATAAATCACTAATTAATCTGGTAAATCCAAAGTCTCTACTCTCTCCCACCTCCGATTCCGTCGGATACTACAAGCAAAAGAGCATGAGTCAGGATAAGGAAAAATATGTAATTTTAAGAGTAAAATTGATATTTTATACTTATCCTGACTCATGAAGTAAGCCCTCCCATCCTCCCCACATAACACTTTGGATTTCCCCGTAAATTCAAGTGTTGGGCTCGAAAAATAAGGAGAGAGTGAAGCATGTGGCCAGAGGGTGGCGCCACCTTTCACGCGCTGGGACAAAGGGAGGCAAGTCATGGTGAGTATTAATTAGTGATTATACATTGAAGGGAGCTTCAATTAGGGAGATACAAGTGTTTCCACTATGTTCGCAAGAAGAAGAAGACAAGCAAAAGAGCATGAGTCAGGATAAGTATAAAATATCAATTTTACTCTAAAAATTACATTTTTGTCAACACTAGTACAATGCTTGTTGATGCTTCTGGAGGCAGATTGAAATTAAGCATTATGATTTTGTCCCTCTCAGACAGTACAGCCAAATGAAAAATAAGTACATGACAAATTATAGCAATGTGAATATTAAAGTTCATCATTACTTGTCAAGGTTACTAAAATGTCCAGTAGTCTCAATAGAATCAGTCAATTGAACAATGATTATCAAACATAAAGGACAGTTGGATTGTTGCAATATGATGAGCTAGTTTATTGTTAAATATTCCCTTCAGTACATTTTCTGTTGTTTTGCAGCGGACATGCTGAACACTGTTCTGTACCTGTACAAACACTCTATGGGTCAGCCCCTTCCTCAACCTGATGAGGTCCTACTGTGCACTCCACAAGTTACCATTGACCAGGTAAGGTCATCTGTTGTGTATATAATGATAAAATACCTCATTTACCTGTAAACATATAGTCAAAAGGTTGCTGTGAATACACCTTTTAGAGAGTGGTCAAATGTTATATTTGTGATTGCACTTTCCCAGTGAATTAGAGATTTTGTATAAGACGCTGAGCCTGAGTGCATAAGAGCTTTTTTACTTTGTGTGCTGGAGAATAAGTGCCTTCTCTTAATAAGAGTATGGGTTCAAACCCTAGATGGGACTCAACCCAGAGAGGTACTGGAGTCTGTACTTTACTGATAAAGTGCACATAAAACATGCCTTAATATTTTGCTGACATGGAATAACCCTTTTTATTTACAAGAAATACTTTCAGTCACACCCAGAGATAGTAGTGTTAAAATATAATAAATCACTGTTTATTCTTTAGCGTGTCATTGTGATTGTTATTTTCAACAGTGTGGCAAGAATGTGTAATTAGGGGCAATGGATTCTCATGACTAAGGAATCTTGTATACCTCAACATGTACTTTTTAGATGACAATAACATTCGTCAGAATGACATGTTTGTTGGTGTTTATACAGAAGTGAGTAATGTGCAGCCGGAACAACACCTGCATAATGCTTCATTACAGCACCTTCAGCACAAAAATGTTCATATCCCTGTTAATAGCTTTGTTGCAGTATAGGAGTTTTAGTGACTCAGTGAATGGAAAATGATGGTGAATCTTGTGATGGGACAGTCAAAGGCCAACTCTTCAGTATATAAAGTGGGCGGTCAGATAAACAGGTTGCTCCAAGATTAGTTGCTGGCTTTAATTTTGAGATTCCTTTTAACTGAAATAGGAAACAACAATGACTTTTCAAAGTTTATTTAGCCCAAAAAGCAAACTAATCATGGAATGAGTGATAAATATTTCTGAACAAGCACCTTGGCCCAGTAGGCTTGTTACCAGGTAGTTTGTGGATCCCTTTTGAAAATGACCCATTAGAGAACATTTCATTTTTGTCAACCTCTGTAAAACAATGCTAACTAAATAGATCATTTGCAAAAATAACTACAGGTACACTACTCTGTGAAGATATTATCTTTAAAAGAGACAAACATGGTATCTGACAATATTATCCAAATATCCTCTGTTTATATTTTTGCATAGTTTTACACAATAGACAAGTATGTTATCTGGACAATGATATAAAAACAAAATCACAAGTAACATATATAAAACAACATATCTGTGAATGTTTTGAAATAGAGGTATTTTAAAATTCTATATTAATTTCCATGACAATTTTGGTGTAATATCTGCTGAAACTGTTGCTCACAAATTTGGGACAAAATTGGACTAAGTTTGTTTGTTTGGATTATAGCATTGTCTTGTGTGTATTGTTAGGTTGACATCTTCCTTCGACGAGCTTTCTTCAGCAACCCTGGCAAGTTGTATGCAATGGCCAACGCTGATCTGCTGCAGTATGAGATTGAGGAGAGGGCAGAGAAAAAGCTCAAAGAGTATTCAACATTGACAAATATGAAAGGTAGTATGTCCAAATACTTGTTATTTTTCCTTATCCTGACTCATGCTTTTTTGCTTGTCTTCTTCTTCTTGCGAACATAGTGGAACACTTGTATCTCCTTAATTGAAGCTCCCTTCAATGTAAAATCACTAATTGGTACTCACCAAGAGTTGCCTCCCTTGCCCTTTTGGCGGGAACAGGTATCGCCACCCTCTGGCCTCATGCTTCACTCTCTCCTTCTTCGCCCAGTGAGCAGGATGTGAGAGCGCCTGCGTCTCCTTACACACTATATCCTTTGGTTTTTCTTAGTTTATTACCTCTTATAGGTTACTATAGAGGTATAGCTTGTATCCTTCATTAATTTGCATTGATAATTAATCGTATTTCTACTGTTTATTCACGTGAGCTCGTGATTGTTCAGCTATTATTACGTTGATGAAAATCTGTACTATTTGCAATTTACGTTTTCTGTTGCTGACCCGCATGTATTATGCCCTAGTTGTGCTTTCACCTTGTGCGTTTGATACACGTTGCAGTTACTGCATTAATCTATCAATTCTGCTTTTCATAAATATCTTTAGCGTCGTGAGGCGTTACCGCAGAATAGGTCCACGCAAACAAGGGTTAGACATGGCCGATACATCAGTTCCCCTTCCAGTCAGCTGCTGTCGATAGACCCCTCCTGTCTGGTGTTCCGCTAGAGACTCCGTCCGAAGATGGGCGTGGGATGCAGTCCGCCACCTCTAAGAAGCGTCCTGCCTCCCCAGACGTCCCGTCATCGCCAGCTAAAGTCCAAGAGGGCCCACGACGTCTTCTCAGCGCAGACTTCGACCCCCAGGGCAGCGTCGACATCAAAGGGGAAGTCTCTGAAGTCGTCAAGAACTTTCTCAGCCGAGATCGTTCCAGCCGCCGAACTGGGCCTCTCACGATGATCAGCCCGATCATCATCCCTGAGAAAGCGTCACAACAAGAAGCGACCGGTGACAGCTACAGTGACATCAGCAGAGATCGCCATGCAGCCTGATGCCTCTACACTGATGTCAGGCGACTTCCCTGAGGCGACTTCGCCATGAGGGCTCAGACAGCTGTCCATCCCAGAGCGGTTGCGGCAGATCGCGGATGACCATGACCACTACAGGCGAGAAAGCAGCCAGCCCAGGGCCTGAGCAGAGCCATCCCAGAGCACCCCCAGAGCGTAGCAGCCACGGCGAAGCAGCCGAGAAGGAGTCACAGACCACCTCGGAAGGCCAGATGTACAGTCTTCGCGAGGCCCAAAGCAGCCAGCTCGTCACCGTCCTCGGCCTCATCCTCAGATGCAGACTCAGACCACCAGGCGTCCGAAACCGTCCACGCGGAAGTCAAAGCCGCCTCCCCCAGGTCGGGCGCAGAGAAGCTGCGAAGGCCGTCACACAGATCGTCATCGTCCAGAAGGGCGTCGGGGACTACTCAAGAGCTTCCGCGAAGCCGTCAACATTCTCCTCGCAGATCTAGGTCTTCCCATAGACGCAGATCACCTAGACGATCTCCACGCCGTTCACCACGCCGATCTCCATTACATCACCTCGCGGGTCACCACACAAGTCGGCATCGCGGGTCTACAGTCAGGTCTCCCCGAGTGTCACCCGACATAGAGATAGCAGCCCACAGTTCACCATCAGAAGAGCATCAACCTCATCTCCGATGCTGGTACAGAAGATGATGGAGGCATCATCTTCTCAGGCGCTGAGATAAGATATTGGATGGTAAACAACCTAGATTTATCTTCACCGTCCAAGAGTGGCAACTCAGCGCGCCAGACATACCTGATGAAGGAAGGCGATGCAGGCGCCATCACCCTACCTCCGATCGACCCGATTGCTGCGGTGCCACATAATCTAGATACAGCCTTCATTAAAAGCTCACGAAAGTGCAGACACCACATCTGCCGAACTTTCACGCTAAGAAGTTCTCCACGCAACATGGACCCCTTCCTGAAGGCACAAGACATCGATGACAACTACAAGCTGATCAGCGATGTTAAGAACAAGAACTACAAGATTGGCGATGCGCAAGCTGGTGCAGATAGAAAACATGGCCGAGGCGCATGTTTTTGGCCTAAATAGATCTAGAGCGATCAATGAGACACTTATCACCAGATTTACGTAATATCGACCTCTGAAGATGATAGGATGATCTACTCGGCCCTACTGATGCAAAGAAGGACCAGCAGTTCCTTACAGATCATCTCACATCTGTCTCAGCAGCACTGACCTTAGCTTCGTCGTCAAGGCCTCCTGGCTTCCTGCAGCTGGGGTGAGAACTTTACAGCTCCACTCTATACAGCCCGTGGTCATCCCCAAACATCTTTGGCGGAGGAATAGACAAAGTCTCCAAAGGAAGTCACTAAGGACTCCAGAGAGTCCTTATGATCAAGTCGATGGACAAGCTAGCCAGCGTCATCAGGCAGACTTCACAAAGATACTCAGGGAGATCTAAGTTCACCGGGACTACAGAAAGCACGGGATAGGAAGATAGCCAGCGCCAGGGAAAAGATTCTTTTAAATTAAGCCCATATGGCAACTATAGAGGAGGGTCAGGAAGAGGCAGGACACCCAGAGGTTCCCTTAACTATAAGCGCTGAAAGACAGGTTGAGCGACTGGAGTCTTCCACCCCAGCCCGTTCCAGTACAACCGTCACAAGTGGGTGGGCGCCTCCAACTACACTGGGAGAACTGGGGAATGTTACAAGACCCTTATGTCTCCAACATTCTTCAACACCCAGTTTAAATTATCCCACTACAGGCCACGCCTCCGCTGACAGTCAACCCTTACAAGTTAGACTTACAGGCACAACAACTACCAAAGTTAAGAGGCGGTTACATCACTCATAACCAAGCAGGCCATAGAAGTACTAGATCAAGTAAACATCGAACCAGGCTTCTACTCCCCAGTTTTCCTAGTACCCAAGAAAAACTCCAAGGAGAAATACAGACTCATTTACAACATGAGCTTTTTCAACAGGAATTATCTCGCCAAACCACCAAAGTTTAGCATGATACACCTTCCTCAGTTCGGCAGTTGATTAAGCCCCATGGATTACATGGCCAGTATAGATCTGCAAGGCGCATATCTACATATCCCGATACATCCGAATCAGGAAATATCTAAGATTTACACTAGGCGGGCTACATTACCAATGGAAAGTACTCCCATTCGGCATATCATCAGCCCCTGGCTATTCACGAGGATAATGAAACCTATTGTCACCTATCTACATGCGTCTAGGACTCGCGCAGTGCGTTCTACCTCGACGACGGGATACAAGTAGATCAAGATCCACAGCGTCTCAAACTACAGTTAAACTACATCATAAAGCTACTAACACAGCTAGGATGGTTAGTAAACTTACTCAAGTCGGACCTAGTACCATCGCCAAGATCTGCAGTTCCTAGGCATTGATTTATCCGCGAATCACAACCGTATCGTCGTACCAGAAGACCGTTGGCTCAAGATCCAACAGACCATTCCGCCAGCTCTACTCTCTCCGTTACCACTCGACAATGGCAGAGCTTGTTGGGTCTCCTCACATCAGCCCAAGACATGACAGTCTCAGGCAGATTACAGTTCGCCCATTACAGGTCTTCATCAATGCACATCTCGGCGACCTACAACCATTCAGTCTACCGAAGCGTCTCAGACCTCATCTACTATGGTGGACCAGGAGGTCGAATGTCTGCGAAGGTATTTGTTTAGAAGAGCAGAATTCAAAACCCATCTATATGTAGGCAGCGTTAAGCCAAGGTTGGGGAGCTCATCTACGCCAACGGACGGACGGCATCAGGGTTATGGAATCAGCAAGAAAGCAAGCTCCATATAAACATGTTAGAGATGAAAGCTGTAATCAGCGCCATACTTCATTGGAGCACCATTCTACAGAATCGCGCCAATGATTCATACCGACAACTTCGACAGTGGCGTTCTATGTGAACAAACAAGGTTCAAGCGAGATCACTGAACCTATTGACTTTAAGCTTTCAACTGTTCGATCTAATCCACGATCTAAACCTACATGTCAGAGCATGTCACATTCCGGAGCCAAGAATGTACTAGCAGGCGCACTCTCTCGGCCACATCAACCGTCACCCGACAGAATGGATGCTCAATACAGAAATATTTGCACAGATAATCAAGCAAATAGGGCGCCCGCTAGTAGATCTATTAAGCCACTGCGCTTCAACAATCAGCTACCGACATTACGTGTCACCAGTCCCAGACCCACAAGCATGGGCAGCGGACGGCTCTAAGCATATCCTGGGAAGGCCTCAATGCGTCTGCAGCGTTTCCGCCGCCAGCAATAATACCTCAAGTGTTACAGAAAATCAGACAAACACAGAGCCTCCAACTCACTTTGGTTGCGGCCCTACTGGCCGGCCAGAGCGTGGTTTCCCATTCTAATTCAAGAAATCGGTCAACCAACACTAGAGCTACCCAAAGCTCAAATCTATTAATACATCCACACACCAAACAGGTGCGGAAGCCCAGAAGTATTCCAACTTCATTATGGACTGTATTAAAATGTGTTTAAACAAGAGAGAATATTCTACCAGGGCAAAGCAAAAGCGGTCCGCGCGCTTGCCTTACGCCAATTCTACCGTGGCAATGCGGCGACAAGTGGCACAGTTTTGAAATTACGCAGCAAATAAAGGGATTTACAGCAAGAGATGCTACTCATCCACAAGTGGCAGATTATTTGTGTTACTTACGGCAAAACAAACATTTAAAAGGCTTCGACATTGTCAACATATCTTGCAGCTTAGTTCTGTGATTACCATGAGAGCGGGTGTCAAATTGACTAAAACTCCAGAGTTACTGGCCTTACTACGTGCTTTCGATTGGAGGACCAAAGCGGAAGTTCCACGCCCCAGCTTGGGATCTGAATATAGTGTTACAACACCTCACAAGTGAGGCTTATGAACCGTTGGAATCGACAAACTTTGAATTTCTCTCACAGAAAACGCTTTTCCTGTTATCTCTAGCCACAGCAGCCAGGATGTCGGAAATTCAGCACTAGATTATGAGAGGATACAGTTTGATGACAATCAAAACACAGCACACCTGGGACTAAGATGGGATTTCATCGCCAAAAATCAACTACCAGGTCAACCAGACAGGTTATTTCATATCCCTGCATTATCCTCCATTCTCGGATCTCAAGATACACTGGACTTATCTCTATGCCCAGTCAGAGCTCTCAAAATCTATTTCTGGTTCCCAAAACAAAGTGAAGATTTCTCAAAGCGATTATTCATCCCTTGTCGGCAACAACTCAGACAGAAGTCTCTCGTACCACCATATCTATATGGATAAGAACTGTCATGCCAGCCTACAAGGCAGCAGGACTGGACCCTCCAACAGCATCAAATCCCCATGAGATCAGGGCTTTGGCTTCCACTCTCGCCCTACGGTAACTGTTCATTGAATACAATTATGGAAGGATGCTTTTGGAAATCTAACATGGTGTTTGCTAATCACTACCTGAGAGATATCACCACCGAGGGCGTCTCAGGCATTCACCATTTAGGTCCCTTGGTCCTCGCACAGCAGTTGACAGTCCCTAAATAGCGTTAACCGCGTAGTCTTCACGAGATTAATATGCATAATTGTTACATGCATTATCTAGCTTATAACTCTCGGAGTTCTAGCACTATGTATATATGTTCAGTGGTATAGCTTCTCTATCAGAGTTAAACTTTGATATTGTTGTTTATAATATCTCAGTATATTATTAATGTAAATACCCCAGTATGGCATTATAACCTATGGCTTATAATAGAGGAATTATCCTAAGTCTATGCCTTTATGAAGTTCCGTGGGGAGTTATTACAGTTATATCTATATAAATCACTAATTCTATAAATCCAAAGTATTCTGTTTTGCCCACCTCCGTTTCCGTAGGTTCTACAAACAAAAAGAGCATGAGTCAGGATAAGGAAAAATATGTAATTTTTGAGTAAAATTGATATTTTATACTTATCCTGACTCATGAGGTTAACCCTCCCATCCTCCCCACATAACACTTTGGATTTCCCTGTAAATTCAAGTGTTGGGCTCATAAAATCAGGAGAGTGAAGCATGAGGCCAGAGGGTGGCGACACCTGTTCCGCCAAAGGGCAAGGGAGGCAACTCTTGGTGAGTACCAATTAGTGATTTTACATTGAAGGGAGCTTCAATTAAGGAGATACAAGTGTTCCACTATGTTACAAGAAGAAGAAGACAAGCAAAAGAGCATGAGTCAGGATAAGTATAAAAAATATCAATTTTACTCAAAAATTACATTTATAATGAAACATAAGAAGTGTCTAGCAAATGAGAAGCTAAAACTCCACAGGCCAATGTTTTTAAAACTGAAAATGGTATCTGTTTCCTCAACTTGTCCAAAAGTTCAACTACAAAATATTTTTTTCAGGTCTTGACTATCAGCTTGTGATTTTGTGCTCAACTGAAAATGAGTTCAAAGCAAGAATTGTGGCAGCTCTTGATCTATACAAATGTCCTGCCCCTGCAATGCAAAACTTGGATGAAATCAAAGGATACTTGAAATCAAAATTTTCTCAGTCTGGAGATGCTGCCAGAATGATAACAGGTTCAAGGGTTGACTTTGAAAGGTAATGATTATTATGTTTATGTGCATGTTTCAACTCCTGCACCTATAACTCCATGTTACTTTACACTTATCTGTTGATTCCACTGATAGGCTGATGCATATACCCTCAAGTCTTTGGGAACTTCATCCACATTGTTTATGGTTCCTAGACTTTCATGTTTGCTATTTTTATGCCCCCGCCATGTATGGCAGGGGCATATAGAGTTACCCTCTGTGTCCGTCCATACATCCGTACGAAACAGGGAATGTACTCTATCCACTTCTCCACAAAAAAACGTTCTGTGGAATTCCGTGAACTTATACATGGGCTTTCTTGGGACTCTAATGGTGTGCATCTCATATTTTGTTTTTGTATCGTATTTATTTTTCCAATTTTAATGCCGTTTGAAATTTTGTTGAATTACTCTCTGAATATAGTGTTATAGGGGATGAAGTCTATCCACTTCTCCACAAGAGCTGCTCAACAGAATTGATTGAGCTTCTACGTGTGTTTCATTGGGACTCTAAAGGTGTGCATCTCATACCTTGTTCATCCAATTTCGTAATTTTGTGACTTCTACAGATGTTTGAACTCAGTTGAATTTGGTTCTATTCATCCTGTTCGTCCCATACAACAGGGGGTGTACTTTATCCACTTCTCCACAAAAACCACTGCACAAAACTCATTTAGCTTACATATGTCTTTTATAGAGACTCTAAAGGTGTGCATCTCATATTTTGTTTTTGTATTTTATAGTTTTTTGTATGTTTAGAGACATTTGAACTTAGATAAATTTTGTTGAATTTCTCTCTGAATATAGTGTTATAGGGGATGAAGTCTATCCACTTCTCCACAAAAGCTGCTCAACAGAATTGATTGAGCTTCTACGTGTGTTTCATTGGGACTCGAAAGGTGTGCATCTCATAGTTGCATAGATGTTTATTGAACTTGCTCATGAATTTTGTTCAATTATTGATCTTTATATGACAAGCCCCAGGAGTTACATCATCTCAACTCTGAGGAAAGCGAACATTATATGGAATCACTTGTCAAGAATTTTGAAGATATGTTGATCAATCTTTGTTTTATGACTAAAAAACTCCAGTTGCTCAGTTTTTAACAAACAAGCCCATCTCAACTCCATGGAAATAATTATGGACTTAAACAAATAAACAGTGTGAGGTATGCAATAATATCATGTCATGGAACAGTTAACTTTTAACCTGCCATATTGAATATGTTCCAGAATATGCCAAAAATAACCACTTTGGCTTCTACAGCAATCTATTGCTTTCACTTGCCTCCACAGTGATATTGCTATTGCTAGTTTATTTACCCTTGTACCATGAACCTTCATGGTATAGGTTTGATTGTACTGTGGTAAGTTTATTGTGACATACATTTACAAATAAGTATTTACCTTGGACACTTTGGATATATTTTTTTTATAATCAACCATGATATTTATTTAGTAGAAATTAATCACCAGAGCACACTCAGTGTAGGGAACTCTTCCTACAGCAGCGGGGGCATCCGTGTCCCTGGACACAATTGCCTCCTGTTCTTTTTGCAATAAACAAGAAGTTGTCATCCATAAAGTTGTATGTTTCAGTTTTAAGCCACCAATTTCTAGGATGCCGATGAAACAATTTGCTATTTTTGTCTACAGTTCCACAGTGCGAGTGATCAAATCCAAAAGAGCTGGTGTTGGGAAGACCTTATACAAGAAGCGTCAAGTGGAGGCACTGCAACGTCTGAACCCCAGAGTCCCTGCTACATCAGTGTCCATACATCTGTATGAGAAAAGTGTGTCCACAACTGCTGTGGCAGAGAAACTGCTGGATCATACGCTGCAGCCTGGACAAGTCCAGCCTAGAATATTCCACTTGGACATTTCATATGAGGTTAGCTACATTCACCTTTGTAGAGTCCTGTATCTTTGGGTACATTGCTAATTTGAAGACCCGAATATATATACATGGAATGAAATGAGCAGATTAACATCCTAAGTTAAACTGTGATGTTTACTATTGCAGGTTCAGGAAGGCGTTGACTATCTCCTCTTCAACCTGCTGGTTCTGGGCTGCATCAGCAACAACATGGGACATGTCTGGCTGAAGTCTCCCCTGGACCTGTATCTCGTGGAGACCATTCCCATCAAAGATGTGAGACAGGACAGGGTATGTATCTGTCAATATCATGCCTCAAAGCGAGACTGACCAATGAGGGAGCAGAACTACTAACCCCTTATGAGCCTGTAGACAGTCACTTACCTAATGAGACTGAATACCATCAGTGATGGCCATCTTCAGAACATTGAAGATTTTCAGCAAGATATATTAATTACTGTGAGTTTGTCGAACCCAATATGTTTCTGCTTACCTAATATGACAATGACTGATACATGACCTAAAGGTATCATAGCCAATGATATCTGAGCAATGAAAGGCTATGTTTGAATTTTACATATCTGTACATGTTGGGGCCATCTCTGTCAATATGTGGAGATAATATGTTATCATTGTGGATATAAATCAACATTTCCATGTGTTCTTAGATTAGATGTTACAAAAGACTGGCTTTGTCAATATTTGTTTGAATAGTCCATATACAAATAGTCCAGACAGATTATTTCTATATCCTGCATTTCTCTGTGTAAATGTACATTTAAATTACTCTCAGCATCTGATCCACCCCTTGCTGGAAGTTCTGCCTGATGTTTTCTGCTGGTCCCCTCAAGAGAGTCTACAGATACTTAACAATGACATAACAACAGAAGGTATTACCTACGGTTAATCTTCACAAACTTCTGAAACAGCTTGATTGGTTCATGATGAATGTACATTTTGCTGAAGTACTGTATATAAGACCATGAAACACTTCATAATAACTGTGTTGGTTTCAACTCTTTTCTGTCTCTGAAGCACATTTGTGGATTATATTTATAGTGAGAAGTTGTCTGTATTTTAGAATATGGCGAAGAAGACAGCCTGTTTGATGTTAAGGAATTTGAAAGTGAAACATTTCAAAGACCTTACCAATACCTCAAGAGATGGGACAACAAACAGAACCTGGCTAACATTGATGCTTCAAAGCCAGAAGGGCCACCTGAGGATTGCCTAGCAAAATTGCTGAAGTAAGTACATTAAAGTCAGAAGTTGATATGAAGTCTGTTCGAAGTAAACCTGATAATCTTACAATCTGTAATATTGAATAACTAATTTCTTGCATGCTTCAGTTATACACAAAGTGAGATAGATTGTGAAAATTCCAATAACAATTACCACTGGAACTTTGTGAGACAGCATGACCCAGATGTATGTACTTGGAACTAAAGATCCCATATACGATTCTCATGCTTTCTTAGTGTGTTTTGAATATGCTTAAAAATGTGATATTGGAACTGTGATCTATGGAACTATTGGTTCTAGTGTACAATGGACTATTTGGACCAACCTGTTTGATTACTGTTGCTACAGAAGACTGGGTCTAGTTCTGTGTCTGGCATGATTATCTTTTTTATATGTTGAATACCCATGCATTAACTGTAATACTGCCACCTCCCTTATTCAACACTGTTTCTCCATTCACTGACATACGAAGTGTGTATCAAAGTGATGATGCTGAATTTAAGAAATGACTGTTTCAGACATTGTGGACTGCGGGATCCCTCCTGGTCTGAGCTACACAACTTTGTGTGTTTTCTCAATACTCAGCTGCAGGACTTTGAAAAATCTATATTCTGTTCTGATTTGATTCTTGAAGATCTACCAGGATTTCCAGCACTGGTGCTACGATTCCTTATACAGATGTCAAAGGTTAATGAGTAGTTATGCTTCCAAAGTCTTTATATAACTGTTATATCAACTAAGGCTGAAAAATGCTTTATTTCTTGTGCAATGCCATTTATGGATGTGTGATTTGGTGTGGGTAGAGAGGACACTTTTCAGTTATTATACCACCTTGCATGTGGTTCAACTGTGGACATATTATGTTGGAGTATATATGCCAATGATGATCAGTTCCACATGCAATTAGTTCAAGAACAAATATTGCCAGCGTAAATGTATGATTGGAAAATCTATCAAGTAAGAACTGTTCCATGGGAATAATTGTTCTAGATAAAGATAGTATAAAGGAATAGATACCCTGTGACATATACATCCAGCCCAGTGGGATCCTGCTTCTTATACATCCCACTGCAATGTGACAGGAACCCAGAAGTGGATACCTTGACAACATCATCATTAAAGCAGCCTTCACACGGCAAACTTAAGTTTGACAACACATGTTGTTGAAATTTTAAAAGTTCACACATGTTGTCAAACTTTTGTGTCATTTGAGTGCCATGTCTCTGGCTGTGCGGTCACATGACATTCTTTTTCATAGAGATCGTCCTTGGGGTACATTTATTTATTTTCTGCGGCTGAAAGTGTCATGTGACAGTTGTATCAATGTTTTAATAAAAATATTGTACAATAAATAAAAATCTTTTTTATCTATTATACGGCCCCCACCACGTGGAGTTACCTCCCTGCTATGCATGCACAGCCAACCAGGTAAGCACCTAGGCCCGTATCATCATTCCTTCTGCTGTCACTCAAGCATTCACACGTATTTACAAGCTGATTCACTTCGTTAGAAGAATGTCTGAGACTTCAACAACTGTATGTATGGTCTTTATTCGTTCTTGGAAAAGAAAAAGAACAGTTTAATTGACTTTGCAGTCTGTTATTTCTCATTTTTGTGACTTTGTATCAACTATTACGCTAACTTTCCCGTGGTTGCTTTTCCATGGCAGGAAGTTTAGCGTACACGGGGTTGTCATATTGCGTTATAAACCAAGTATTTCATGCCCGTGGTTGCATTCACGTAATTTTCAATGTTTTGTACGTGTATATTTATGCTGCTGGTTCCGCTGTTAGCTACATGCTTGCGTGTTTGCTTTCAGGCGTTTACTGGGTGTTCTGTCTGTGGGCAGAATATCCCTAGAGCCGACAAGCATGATAAATGCTTGTGCTGCTTAGAGAAGGTGGGACATAACCCTGATGTCTGCGATCTCTGTATGGCCTTTTCCCCCCCCGGGCCAAGAAGAGAAGGGCAGCATATTTCCTTTTCTATCAGGAATTACGAGAGGCGGGAGGGGAACTTACCCAGTAGGTCCCCCCGTCCAAAGCCAAAAAAGCCTAACAACCTAAAACTAGGTCGCCTAAGTCGCCTTCCCAGTCATCCCAATCTAGTGGTTTTGATATGTCACTAATCACTCAATTGTTTCAGCAGCATATGGACTCCATGAAGCCCCTTGTTCATGAGTCCGTTGTAGGTCTCCGCCGAGTTCATCGCTCACTCTGAACAGGGGACCGAGAGTCCGGGGGTGGGATCGCCGAGCCCGGCTCGATCCCTTAGCCTGGAGGCGTCTGTAGATCCTTTGCCTTTGGCTTCGGGTCCAGACGCCTTGCCTAACCCAGAGGGGGAGGGTTCACTCCCAGTCCCCCTCTCGGTGCTGGCTCAGGGTCCGTTGAGGATTCCTGGGGTTCCGTTCACTGCGCCCCATGAGAGCGGAGGAGTCGGTTCTGCCCGGTCTTCCTCCCATGTCTTGGGACCGGGGTTTGAGTAGTGTGTCGGTTGCCGGAGCGGGGAGTTCCTTCGGCTTTTCCCTTCCCTCGGTGTCTGGGGCTCGGCCTCCCGCCGGGTCGAGGTTTGGATCCGGTGGTTGACAAATATGTGTTCACTTCGGTCGCCCTCGGGGGAGGCTTGGCTTCCTCAGGCACAGCTCCGGCTGCCAAGCAAGGGTGTTTAGTACCACCGTTTGCCCTTGCAGGGGCCCCCCTGCAGCAGGCATACCAGACTTATGAGGAAGTCTACCGGAATGCCATGCAGCAGGTGCGGGTGGTGATCCTTGAGGGCTATGTTTCCTTTATTCAAAGGTCGGCTCTGGAGGCGGAAGGGAGCACTGGGGACGTGTCCCCGCATGTTGTTCAGCTTTGCCAATTGTCCGAAGTGCAGGCCCACCTGGGACGAGACTCTTTGCGGTCTGCCGTGTCTACGGTGATGTGCACAGTCATGGGTCTAACTCAGCGGTCAGCGCTCTAACTCAGCCAGCGGGCCTAGATTCTACCCACACGGTGATAGACATTCTAGTTCGACTGGGGTGGATCATCAACCTCAAGAAATCCGACCTGGTACCCACCCAGGACTTGGTTTTTCTTGGGGCGCGCTTCTTAACTCACAAGAGTCTTGTCTCCTTGTTGCCCGACCGGGTCACCAGAGTACGGTAGATTGTGTCTTCCTATGTCTGCGCCCTATACAGCAACCTTTGGCGAGTATGTGGGCTCACTCGGAGGATCTGGCGCAGAGTCTCACAGTCCCTGGGTGGTTGTTTCCCGACCTTCAGTGGTGGACCAATGTCGGGAATCTCTCCAAGGGGATCCCTTTGGAACTCCCGACGCCAGCTCTTACAGTTCAAACCAATGTGTCCCTCATGGGCTGGGGTGCGTGTGTGTGTGTGTGTGTGTGTGTGTGTGTGTGTTCTGGGCAGTCTGTTGGTGTCCGGACTCTGGTCCGAGGCCGAGGCCCGTCTTCACATCAATGTCTTGGAACTGAGAGCTGTGCGGTTGGTTTTCGAACGCTCCCGGGGGCATGTCTGGGGCCAGGTGGTTTGTCTTCAGTTGGACAACCGTACGGCCATGACGTACATCCTGAAGCAAGGCGGCATGGTGTCCCAAGCGCTCCTTCAGGAGAAGTGGGAGTTTCTCCTCTGGTGCGACCAGTGCGACTGGCAGGTGCTTCCTGTTTATCTCCCGGGGCTGGAGAATGTGCGAGCAGATGCTCTCTCTCGCCGGATCCTGGCCCCACATGAGTGGTTGCTCGACCGGCAGATATTCGGAGTTATCTCCCAGTTGTACGGATCGTTCCAGATGGATCTGTTTGCGTCCGGCGGGACGAATCAGATACCCATGTTCTGCTCTCGAATACCGGACCAGAGGGCGTTGGCTTCCGACGCCATCCTGCTGGATTGGACAGGCAAAGTGCTCTGGGCGTTCCTGCCGCTACCACTCATTCCCCGGGTCCTCTGCCAGCTGTCCACCCAGCCAGCTCGGCTACTTGTGCTACTGGCACCACTATGGCCATCACAGAGCTGGTTTCCGGTAATTCTCAGGTTTCTGGCTCAGCCTCCTGTTCTATTACCTTTGCGCCTGGACATTCTCACTCAGAACGGCGCACCATACCCCAATCCAAGGATTCAGTGGGTGGCTTGGCCTCTGTCAGGTCTAGCCTCGAAGCACGCGGAATTCCTGCAGCAGTTGCAGACACAATTCTGGCTTCGAGGCAGGAATCGACAAACGTTCAATATGAGGATAGGTGGTCCCCCTATGTGCTCTGGTGGTCAGATAAGGGGATTGCAGATTCCTTTTCTGCGGGTTTTATTCTGAGTATTGGAATTTTTGCAAGCTCGTTTGGAAGAAGGCTTGGCGGCTTCAACCATTCGTGGCTACTCCAGCGCTATTTCCACTTTTCACAACCCTGTCGATGGTGCTCTTCTGGGGCAGCACCCTCTTCTACAGAGCTTTTTAGCTGGCGTGGATTGGGTTCAACCTGCTGTAAGGCGAACCATCCCACCTTGGGATTTGTCAATCGTGATAGATTGGCTGTCTGGTCCTATGTTCTCATGTCTATCGGCTATTTCTGTTCAGTTGTTAACGTGGAAGGCCATATTTCTGGTGGCGGTAACATCTGGGCGTAGGGTCGGCGACTTACATGCTATGTCGGCGGATCCGGCGCTGACTGTGTTCCATCAAGATCGTGTCAGTATTCGCCTCCCGGATACTTACCGTCCGGAAGATCGATCACGGTTTCCATGTGACAGCTCCTATCGAACTTCCTACTCTTACCCATCCTTCCACATGGGGGACCTCTCCTACGAGCACTCACCTGTTGGATGTTCGTAAGACTCTCAAGGTCTATATCAAACGAACACAGGGGATCCGTACGGGTACCCATCTGTCCTGCTGTTATGGTGGCGGGAAGGCTGGGATGCTGGCGAGCAAACAGACCCTCTCTCACTGGATTATATCGGTCATTTGTGCTGCTTATCAGGCTAAGGGCAAGCCTCCCGCTGAGGGGTTGAAGGCTCACTCGGTCAGGGCAGTAGCCACGTCAAAGGCCCATTGAAGAGATATGCTCTGCCGCTATTTGGAGCAGGCCTAGCACTTTTATCAGGCACTATCAGCTCGATACACACACATTCACTTGATCGTGAGCGTTTTGGCCGTTCTGTTCTCTCCAGTGGACAGTGTCCTGCCACCCTGACCGAGTGAGTCTGAGTTATCTGGACAGTTGACGCTGCTTTCAATTGTGTATTATTGATATCCGCTGTTGTGTTATCTAACTCCTTTCGATTCTCTCTGGAGATTATGGTGGGTTGTGAGTTGGTTTTTCCCCCGTACGATGTACTCTAATAGACCATGATGTGGGCGGGGTTTTTACTTTCGCACTGTGTGCGAATTGCTATGCTTAAACTATGAGGTCGGATCTAAGTACTTTTCCTCCCTGTCAGTTACCCTCCCATCATGCCTCTCGCGGAAGCTTCGGGACACATGACAGGTTAGTGTTGTGGTGTCTGTTACATTCTTCCTAACGATCGCTATTTATGTGTACTTTGACAGAATTCCCTCCTCCCTGGCCTCCGGTCTTTGGGAGTCCGAGTTAATGCATATATGTAACCCAAGGACGATCTCTATGAAAAAGAATTAGCTAAACCTGTAGAGGTTTCCAATTCTTTGAAGAGAGTTGTCCTTGGGGTAGGGCCACCCACCTCCCCGCAATTCTGTTCACTGATTTATTCAGCAGAAGGAATGATGATACGGGCTTAGGTGCTTAGCTGGTTGGCTGTGCATGCATAGCAGGGAGGTAACTCCACGTGGTGGGGGCTGTATAATAGATAAAAAGATTTTTATTTATTGTACAATATTTTTATTAAAACATTGATACAACTGTCACATGACATTTTCAGCCGCAGAAAATGCATATATGTACACCAAGGACGACTCTCTTCAAAGAATTGGAAACCTCTACAGGTTTAGCTAAATTTTGTTGACTGCGATTGGTTGTTTCTAACAACACGATTTTGACAGCTCTTCACACATCGAACTCGAGTTTGACAACACCGAAAGTGTGATGGAAAAAATTGGCAAGAAAAGAGACCAATCCTCTTTCTCGACAACAGTTTGCCATGTGAAGGCCACTTAAGACTGAACTGTGTGTTTTACTTCCAAAGGTTAGTTCAGTGAGATGCAATGCATCCAGCATATATCCTCCGAGGCACAGCTTGATTGTCTACTATTGATTGACATACACAGAAGATGTGAAACAGAGCACCCATTTCCAAAATTGGCTGCTTAAAATTGAAGCAAATAATTCCGTAGTTACCATTTAGTACTGACAAAAATACCCACATGTCTTTTGTTCAGATTGGAGAGAGAGATCTGATATTCTTGAGATAAAATGGGTTGAAGTTACATCAGTATATGCTGTAAACTATGGTTATAACAATCTCAAAGAGACCACTATTTGTAGTTTATTTTTAGTAGTTATATCTGTCAGCTGATTCTAAACATCTTACAAACATAATTTATGTTGACCGTTCCTTGCTAGTCATCTCAGGTCATTTTTTTTAATTCCAGGATTTTGCAACCAGATCTTTGGATTTAAGTGAAGAGTCGCCTCTTGCTCAGAAAGTTCACAATGATGATGAAGAAGAAGATGACTCTGATGAGGAAGCAGATGAAGAAGAAGATGACTTTGATGAGGAAGAAGATGACTTTGATGAGGAAGAAGATGATGATGAGGATGATCTTGTACAGTTTCAGATGAAGAGGACTTGGGAGAGCAGGTTGGGTTTTCAGTGTCCAGTGTTTTTCACTGAACCGTACTGGATCTCATCTGTAGTTTATTAGTGATTTAAAGAAAAATATCAGTATTAATGTTGTAAAAAAATTTATCAGGTGTAGGTAGTGAGAAGGTTCATTTTCTGTGTTCCATAAATTTTGTCACCTAATTCGTTGGATGAATTTAGTTGGTATTCATCTGTCAATATGTCTCAAGCATCAAAACAGGAATTTCATGTTTGATTAAAAACAAGGAAGGTAAATGAGATGGTGACCTTGTATGGTATCAAGTCTGTTCAAGACAAGAAATCAAATACATCAGCCAGTGGCCATACAGGGACTTCAAATGGCCATATAAGATTGGGATGGGCCTGCTTCTGTTTCTTTTTGGTTTTATGTAATGCAAATCATCTTCCTGGGTCAGTATCAATAAGAACACTGTTTTGGGTGTAGTAAGAACATTTTGAATTACATTGTCAATATTTAGCAAGGGCTGTGTTTCCAGTATCAAACATAAACTGACTGGCCAAAGAAAGTATACCAAAAGTTACCATTTCTCAAATTTTGAAGAAATGTTTTTGTAGGTAAATTATACACTGAAACATGTTGCCCCAATGTAGCAATTTGATACCTGCAGTGAAATTCACGTGCACGTCGTGAATAAAACGTTGATGTGGTAAATTGTATAAACCATGATTTTGGGCCTCTGTCAGACTTTCACATCCACTAAGGGTATAAAGGTTAGTGTGTAGACAGGTTACACATGCAGTTTGAAAAAAATCACCACAGATATGCCACAACTATCAGCCGTTGAACGTGAGAGAGCCATAGGTATGCTCCAGATCAGGTCGACACACGCCAACATTGCAAGAACCTTCAGATGAACCTGTGTAGCAGTCTTTGGACTGCTGCAACGTTACAGGCAGATGGGCCAGACACAGGACAGACCAAGAAGTGGGAGACCGCGAGGAACAACACCAGCTGAAGACCGGCATTTGAGGACGTTACACGTGAGAAAATGTTTCCTGACAGTAACGTCATCAGCGGCGAATTTCCTCGATCACCATGTCAGTCGATACACGGTGGCTAGACGTCTTCGGGCAGCAGGTATCAGAGCCTACAGACCCTTTAAAGAACAGGTGTTGACCCCTGAACACAAACGTCACAGATTGCGTTGGGCCTGAGTTGTTCGTCATTGGCAGCGACGAGAGGAACAGCATGAACGTTCTACAGTGGCCAGCACGTTCTCCAGACATGTCCCCGATTGACAGAGTTTTGGTTTTACGCCGCTTTTAGCAATATTCCAGCAACATCACGGCGGGGGACACCAGAAATGGGCTTCACACATTGTACCCATGTGGACCCGATTGAACACATGTGGGATGCACTAGACAGAGTCGCAGAAACGCCCTAACCCACCACAGAATAGACAGCAACTTGCACAAGCCCTCCAGGACGAATGGCATCGCATACCAGGTGACCTTGTCCGACGTCTGATGTCTTCGGCTGGGAGGCTGCATGCCTGTATTGATGCAAGGGATGGACATACAGGATACTAAAGTGATGGTAGTGAACATTTATTGTGTGTAACTCAGTACCTGCTTATCCTCTATGTGATTGAAAACTGGTTTTCAGGGCTCCCAGTGAACTTCGCGCAGGTCTGATGCCAAGTGTTTTTGTGGTATGCGTGTGATTTTTAGCTCAGGTTAAGTAAAGATGTTGTTAACACCACTGTATTATGTTTGTGTGTCTAGGTACTCTTGGTCAATGATAATGACCTTTGAAAACCTTGTATACTTTCTTTTGCCGGTCAGTTTAGTTCTCTGTCCTTTGTACATATTACTTAGTTTGGCACATTCTTTCTTTGTATTTTTTCATCCAAAGAAGCACTTTCCTTGTGGTTAATATGCATTGTATGCTTCTCTCGAGGGTAATATGGTCTGATGTATGCCTCTTTGTAGCAGTGTTACCCGAGCCGGTAGGCAAGGTATGTCACTGCTACAAAAAGGCGTACATTAGACTGTATTACTCAAGGGAGAAGTTTACAACATATTTATCTTACTGCCATGTTAAATGTACAAAACATACTTTTATTTTATCTCACCTAGATTTTTAAAGTCAGTGAAACAATCCTAAAACTGCTATAAAATGGTTAATTATGTTTAAGTTGAGTGTGAACATGATTCAATGTATAAAATTGTTTTTAAAAAGCAGGTAAAATAAATGTATTCATAGTGAACTTAAAAAAAGTTAATCCAACATTTTTTGCACTCCGTGCACAGCATGCGTCATATTATGACATCATACAATTGTTAGTGATACAGCTTCTCAGCAGAGAGTTGGGCAGTTAATGTGGCAGCAGGTAATATTTTTCCAGTTGTCACCCTCCAGGGAGGGGTGACATGGAAACTTGTTGAAGCGTCATTGACCAATGAAATTAAAGTATTTTACTGAACAACTTATTCATCTTCATTTTTTATAGCCCACATCCCTTTATTTTCTTCAACCCTGATGGGCACACCATGACCTTCCTCGGCTTCAACATTGATCATTTAGGCAACATGATTGACCCACACTCTGGACAAATGCTAGATCGTGGACTTGTACCTAGAAGCCTGCAGATTGGTTTACGGAGAAATAATGTTGAAATTAATGAGAACCCTGATCAATTGGATAGGTAAGCAAACAAATTTAGTTGTTTCTTCTGATAAAAATGTACATCATATATCCTGACTGTCAATATCAGTCATTATGTTGACCAATAGCAGACATGTGGCTGATTGGTTAAGATTTGATTCCTCATCAGTTGAGAGTATCATAATTCAAGATGTAGAAGAACTGTGTTTACTTTTCTGATAGTGTGATAACCTGTATAAAACTTTGTTCTTTCTGTAACACTTATTGGGTTATATTATTTCTGTTATGATCTTCATAAGTGAAGTTATTTTAGAATTTGGCTTAATTTATGTTTTGTCAAGCAAGTACAAAAACATATTATACTATCTTTATCAGAAAGCATTTAAAGTCAGACTTGGTTCCCTTCTTTAATTATGTATACATGTTACCATTAATATTTTTGAAGCTTTGTCTTGTTATATATATTTGACTGTAAATTTATTTCGCAGTAAAAAATAAACTAAATTAAATAATTAACATTCTGTAGTGTTATTGTCTAGCCTCAGCTGAGAATATGATATGGTTTTGCTTATCCTGATGTATACTAATTGCTTGTCTCTCCTTACTCCTGAGTAAAGTGGAAACATCCAGTGTTATGCAGTCTAAGTAAACTTAGGCTTGACCTTCTACTGGGGTTTGTTAGACTCAGTAGCAATGGAACAAATAATACTGAGACAAAGTTTACTTAGACTGAGTGTTAGATTCTCCAAGATCAGAAAAAAACATCTCGCCTGAATACAACCCTCCTCTATTCATCTACACTGGATTGCACTGACCATACGGTCATTCTTTTTAGAGTGAAAACATGATTTAATACTTATCCTTACTCATACAGTAAAGCCAAACATCCACACTCTCCACATATTATTTTGTATTTATTTATACTATAAGTTGAAAATGGAGAGCGTGACAAGTCAGTGGGATGTCAATCTGGTGCCTTGCACAGAGAAGGGGGTGCATTCTAGTGTATTTATGTCTGCTCTTGGGAAAATAACACATGAAGCTCCCAATATCTTTCATTACTGACTGACTGACTGAGTTTGGTTTTACGCCGCTTTTAGCAATATTCCAGCAATATCACGGCGGGGGACACCAGAAATGGGCTTCACTCATTGTACCCATGTGGGGATTCGAACCCGGGTCTTCGGCGTGACGAGCCAACGCTTTAACCACTAGACTACCCCACTGCCCCTCTTTCATGAGAAAGTAGAGATAAGCAACTAGTATGGGTTAAGTGAAAATATATTTCTAGGATATTGAATGATTGTGTTAATTTTCTGATGGATGATAGTATATCATTTTTTTATTTTGTTCATTAGTTTGTTTTCCTTTGAGAAAAGCATTCAGTAAAACTTAGATAAAACTAGTTCAGATTACTACTTCTTACTGGTCCCAGTAGGTACATAAACTGTTCAGTTCCATATGTTTGGATACTTTCAGGGTTGCTTGCTTGATGAAGCTATGCAGGGTGATGCCAGGTGTTGATGTTGTACATGACCCTGATGACACATATGAACTGACAACAGACAATGTCAAGAAGATTCTGGCCATTTACATGAGATTTAGGTAAGTAATATTCCCATTTGAATATATGCCTATTGTGTAAAATATATACTTCTCCTTGCAAGTAATATGCGAGGTAAATGATACATGGTCAATATTAAGAGGTTATTGCATGACAGTTTTCCTTTCGTCAGTCAGGCTGATATGGCAGTCGAGGGCTGATATGACTGGCGAAAGGGAAACTGTCATGTCACAACCTTTTTATCATATACCACATCAAGGCACATAACTCTAAAAAAAACCTAGGCTCCGCCTATTGAAGTTTCGAGCATTTACGTATATTCATTCTGTACCATACTTTAGAGTCTGGGCAATACTGCTGATGTGGATTTTCGCCCAATGGCTGATATGCATTTTCAGCCCAGGTGGTCAATATGGCCATATACCGACAGCCAGTATTGTATGTGCCAAATTATCTACATATATATGATAAATGCTTCTACAGATGTGGAATCCCAGTGATAGTCATGGGAGAGACAGGATGTGGGAAGACAAGACTGATCAAATTCATGTGTGATCTTCAACGTCCACCAGGAACAGATGTACAGGAAAACATGGTCATAATGAAGGTGAGGGAGTAAAATATATCTTACATGATGATCCTTCTTAAAGACCCATGCTCATCACAAGATGAGACTTGCTGAATTGGTTCATTGCATGTTATTGTATCTCACATAGATCAAAGTTCATGATGCCAATCCCTAGATTGTCTGGTTCAGATATGTTTCTTTACAAACTGCCTTCATATGGCTGACATTTTGCTGGATGTGGCATGAAGCAACCAACAAAACTTACCAGTAATAAACAAATGATGGCTGCATTCGAAAACATCTGTTGAAACAAGACAGTCATAGGTCAATGTTAAAGTATGGAAGTAACACCATGATAGCTTTAAGGAAAGTTGCACAGATCAGCACATGGATTGAGTGAGTAGCTTCTTTACATGTTATTATAATGTCTTGACTGGGGATGTTTTAAATTAGCTTCACAAGCTCTTCCAATTATACACAGGAAAATAGAACTATGACTTATGATAGTCATGTACCATTAGGGTATCCTCCACCCCTGTATATAAACAGACTTACTATTCATGATAGGATGAATAGGAGTAGCATCTGCAGAAAGCCATTTGACCATTGATTTTTTAAAGAGGTATAGTCTTGAGGTTATTAAATTACCTCTTGTGGTTTCGATGAAGGTTCATGGAGGGACAACCCCTGACGATATCATCAAGAAAGTCAAGCAAGCAGAACAACTTGCCATCGCTAACAAGGCTAAGAACCCACACATGTACACTGTCCTGTTCTTTGATGAAGCAAACACAACTGAGGCCATTGGACTCATCAAGGAAATAATGTGTGATGGCTCTATGAATGGACAACCCTTGAAACTGTCAGAAAACCTAAAGATTGTAGCTGCCTGTAATCCTTACAGAAAGTAACTATACCTTTCTGGAAGACACTATCTGATGCAGAAAATGACTTAACAATTTGAAACTTCACAAAGTTGTTGTAGTACAAGACACCCTTCAATAAACTAGCTTAAGACATTAAGACATGTATTTATTCTCCATGGCTAATAAGTAGACTTATATAGTTGTTCAATATCAATACAAAAAGAATCCAAAAAGAAACACACTCATTTCAGTTTTCTGTAGGTCAGTATCAGGTATGAGTATAAAGGGCAAATTTACCATTGCAATGATGAAACACAATTACAAAAATATTGGAATACATTATTATTCCAACTGCTTTGTGATTTTTTTAAAGTATACCATTCCACAATATAGACTTGCATTGTTTGACTTTGTGCAGTAGTCATCAGATAGATGGAGAACTGATTAGGTGCAAGTGTTTTGAACATCACAATTACAGCTAACAAGCATCAACAGAGGGTTAGTGATGTTAACTGATTATGATGTTATGGTAACAAATGCCATGACAATGGTAGGCAAAGCATTATGATGCACTTCTATTTTGGTGGTATCTACCAAGCAATATCTCCTGTGAAGACCATACTGAGATGACAGACCTGAATATAAAAAAATCATGAAACTCACAGGACTCCAAATACTGTTTCCTTTCTCCTTTATCCATGAAACTGTGATTTCTTTCAATTCAAGAAGGTGCATTTATTGATAACAATTATAATATGATTGCTTTCAGGCATTCTGATGATATGATCCAGAGACTGGAGAGAGCGGGGCTTGGTTATCATGTTGAAGCAGGCCAAACCACTGATAAACTAGGTATAAGTTATATATTTGGATAAAAAGGAAATTCATGCATCATATAGATATGACAAATATATGGATATAAAATGTGACTTCACTTGTCTGTATTTTGTATATGTAAACAGCTTTCCTGTTGTTTATTTAAAGGTTTATGTCAATGAACTAAGTATATAACAAATTCAAAATATTTGTATCCATTTGTCCAGGCCATGTCCCTATGAGGAGACTTGTCTACCGGGTGCAGCCCTTGCCACAGAGCATGCTTCCTCTTGTTTGGGACTTTGGCCAACTCAACGTTCAAGTGGAAGAACTCTACATCAGACAGATGGTCAACAGATATGTGAGATGATTTCACTGATATCAATAGTGTTAAACCAATCAATCTTCTGGCTATCAGAAATAAATGATAACGACTTGATCAGGACCAAATGTACCCAATAATATATACTCGGAAAGTGTACTTTTCCCAAAGTGAACTATGAGGAACAAACCATTCAACACTTTCTTGGATAGGTGAAGGCGATTGGTTTGATCTACTTGCCTCATCATACCAAAAGATATTTTATGTTGTTATTTTACCTATGGCTCAGGATCAATATGAAGTGTCTGGGGAGGTTATGCATATAAATCAAAGTATCTCAGTGGGCTACCAACATATCTCCAGCATTAGTTCAGACAATAACAATATGCCACACACAAGTACCAGTAACCTTAAGCAAAATGTTAAACCATGCTTCATGTTTTCACCTTTCTCAGATGCCATTTTGCCTTTTGGCAGTTTTTGCTTCCAGCATGAAATAAGTCCTGTTTGTTTCAGGTACGAAATGGGGACATTCCTGATGTGGATGGGCTTGTTGATGTTGTCAGTCGAATCCTTATAGCCTCACAGGATTTCATGAGGAAACAGAAGGTGAAGTCCTAGTTATACTGTAAAGATAGCTGCCTCATGCCTTAACAACATCCTGGTAGAACACACAGTTAGTTGAACCTGCAGAAGCATCTTCAGCAGCCTACAAAACATTTCATTTGAAAAGGTTGTCAGGTTGTCTGCAGTTATAATGGTGCAACCCTGTTAATATCAAGGTAGTATTTTTAGAATTATAACAGTGATGACTATTGCTTAATTGATGTATTTGACTCGATACAGGTAAAACAAATATAAAGCATTAGATGACTAAAATGTAGGAGAGGCTCTCTAAATACACCTAATCATGATGGATGATGAAGGTTTTCAGTACATCTGTACTATGCTGACTACAGGTTCAAAACAGTCTGTGATGTATTTTACATTATGAGCATGTTTCATATTTTATCCATTGATGCACATTGTATTTTGCAGGATGAGTGCAGCTTCGTAAGTCTTCGGGATGTTGATCGTACCCTGAGTGTTATGGCTTGGTTCTACCAGCAGTCCCAAGAGAATGGAATACTATTTAAGAAGATAGATGAACAAATCTCTCCAGAACAAGCATCTGATGATGAGGGATGATGATGATGATGAGGAGGAGGAGGAGGAGGAGGAGGCAAAACAAACAGAAGTATGTGAAGACCTGATATACGATGAAGCTCTGTCTCATGAAGATGACGAAGAAATTAACAAGGCACCTGCTAAAGTAGAATTTCTTCCTGTAAAAGGAAAACACTGTGTGTCAGTATCACACATGGAAGACGACTTTGACGACAGTTTCATGCCATCCTTGATTTCTGATCCAAACTCAGATGAATACTTTGAATGTTTCATGGATGATCAGAGTGGTTTCCAAGAACAAGAGCAGGTATTAGGAATGTTTAGGTTTATTGCAAATAACCTCCTGATTATGACCAATCCCTGGTCAGATTAGATTCCAAAATGCCTATAAGAGCCACTTAGTGTTGATCGCATGGTTCCTGTGCAAGAGTAGGCTGAATGTTTGTTGGACACTGTGATGTACTATCATATGGATCTGTCATGATCCATAAGCATGGATCATGTTCATCCTGTCAACCCTGAGTTTGGCTAGAGACAACTCATTTGTTGCAGGAAAACATGATGTAAATATAGCTAGGACATTGCTAGAGCTGAATAAAACCCCATTGAATTTCTCTGGAAAGGTAATGAGCTTCTGAGTGATGGCAATGAATGGATGAGAACATTGGTGGTCTAAACTAAGTGTGCAAAATACCAAGAAACATGGCAGAAGTATGTAGAGATAATGAACTTTTGAGGTAAGTTGATCCATAATGTGTGAATCCCCAAAGATTGGTGAAACATTTGTTCATATGACATTCATTTAGAAACTTCATGATTTAAAACTTCTATGCCTATCCAGAAAGTCTGGTGGTAGTCAGGATCCACTGCACAATCATTCCATCAGGCCATCCATGATTCCTCCAGTTTGCACACTCTAAACACCACGTGTACAAAGAGTATGTTGATATCGTACATAGAGACTATTACACAAGCAAGAGTGTCATACGACTTATATGAAAGAAGTGTAAATTTTGTAATAATACATTATTTTGCACAAGTTTGGTATAAGTCATATGAGTCAATTGCTCGTGTAATAATTTCTTTTTTATCCATCTTATTCATGTACATAAGTGCAGTAAAACACTGTAAGTAAGTGTGACTGCCCTCTTCATTGATGTCACGTTCATTTGTTTAATGATGTCACAGATGATGAAATGCAGAAACAATGGTTGCTTGGCAAAAGTGATATGTTCACAAGTGTACATGACACTGATTATGTTTCACCATATATAGGTAATAAAAGGTGGTACAATAACAAGATATGATGTCACTAAACCAGTAGTGCTTATAAGGAGCAATTTGGCAATTAAAGAAATAGACTTCTCTGTTTCTCACCCGTGATGGTCCGGGTTAGAATAAGCCTTAAGGCCTTCAGTAAAACATGCTTGTCATAAGAGGCTACTAACGGGATTGGGTGGTCAGGATCGTTGGCTTGGTTGACATGTCATCGGTTCCCAGTTGTGCAGATCGATGCTCATGCTGTTGATCACTGGATTGTCTGGTCCAGACTTGATTATTTACAGACCGCCGCCAAATAGCTGGAATATTGCTGAGTGTGGTGTAAAACAAAACTCACTCATTCACTCTCTGTGTCTGCATGTAATGCAAACACCTTTCTTGTTTTTGCTAAATGTAATTATCCCCCTCAACACGTTTTGTGGGGGTATTAAAATGGACTCCGTCCGTCCGTGCACATTTGTCTTTTTTGGAACAGAACTCTAAAACGTTCACTGGTTCTTCACCAAACTTGGCACATAGATAGATCTGGCGGTGTACTGGTGCCTTTTGGTAGTTGTGGAATTCTGAATAAAATATATATTTTTGGCATTTCCATGGCAACAAGTTCGACTTAGACTGAAATTAGTGGTAGTGCTCTTTTCCGGAGCAGAACTCTAAAACCGTTCACTAGTTCTTCACCAAACTTGGCACATAGATTGGTCTGGTGGTGTACTGGTGCCTTTTGGTAGTTGTGGAATTCTGAATAAAATATTTTTGGCATTTCCATGGCAACAAGTTTGACTTAGAATGAAATTAGTGGTAGTGCTCTTTTCCGGAGCAGAACTCTAAAACCGTTCACTAGTTCTTCACCAAACTTGGCACATAGATTGGTCTGGTGGTGTACTGGTGCCTTTTGGTAGTTTTGGAATTCTGAATAAAACATTTTTGGCATTTCCATGGCAACAAGTTCTACTTAGAATGAAATAAGTGGTAGTGCTCTTTTCCAGAGCAGAACTCTAAAACTGTTCACTATTTCTTCACCAAACTTGGCACATAGATAGATCTGTAGGTGTACTGATGCCTTTGGGTAGTTTTGGAATTCTGAATAAAATATTTTTGGCGTTTTGGTGGTAGTACACTTTTCCGGAGCTGAACTCTGAAACTATTCACTATTTCTTCCCCAAACTTGGCACATAGATAGATCTGGTGGTGTACTGGTGCCTTATGGTAGTTTTGGAATTCTGAATAAAATATTTTTGTCTTTTCCGTGGCAACAAGTTTGACATAGACTGAAATTGGTGATAGTGCTCCTTTCTTAAGCAGAACTTTAAAAACCTTTCAATACTCTCCTTCCACTTTTCTATATACACACCTAAATATTTGACATAATCATAACTCGTAGACATAATCATGAAGAGTATTTTGCCATTGCGGGGGATATTGGCTGTGTAGCTGAAATCGTATAATGTTGACAACATATCAATTCTGACTTCAATGCTGTAGTTCTATTATGTGTAGGTAACAGATGTACCTAATACAGTTAGCTTGAATAGGTGTTTGTGGCATTCCAAATTAGTAGCAGAAGAAAGTTTCATTAAGTACAATATCAATGCATTTCAGCATGCTGATCTTACCAAAGCCCTGATCTTGGCACTGAGTGTGTGTTACCGAGCATCACTGAGAAGTCGAGAGGAGTATGATCGTCATATCATTGGACGTTTTCACCACCCATGTGTTCTCCCAGGTCGACGGGATATAAACCAGTTTGTTGACATCATAAACAGGTAGCCCTTTAATTGTTTTGAAGTGAAGCTATGAAATTGAATCCTGAACTCCCGAGGAGACAATGTTGCCTCATACATTAATGATGTGTCATTTATAGTTTAAGTATGATATAACTATGCATGTTTGATTTTCTGCAATAAATCTGCTTAACACATGAAAAATGATTTTTTAAGCATATTGTTTTAGCTTTCAGTTTGGAACAACATTCAATCTCTTATATTTTGTCTTTCGTTTAATTATTAGCTGTCAGAGAGTGTTTGTGGATGAAGTCCAGCTTGACAACATAGCAAAGAACCAGGCCCTCAAAGAGAACCTGTTCATGATGGTTGTCTGTATTGAACTGAGGATCCCCCTGTTCCTGGTGGGAAAACCAGGCAGTTCCAAGTCCCTGGCCAAAACCATTGTTGCAGATGCCATGCAGGGCAACTCAGCCAGATCAGAGCTATTCAAACAGCTAAAACGTGTATGTATGTGATAGATCTTTGAAGGTTCAAGCAAAGTAAATACACTGTAGTTGTGTTTTTTTCAAAATCTGAAACATTGCTATGTGTAGCAACAATACTTTTCAAACTGGTTAAAAACATTAGACAATAAAAGACACCATGAGAAACCCAAACCAAGCATTTCCACGATGTACTCAATCATACAGGGTATGCATCTGTAAACTTTCTCTTCTCAGAAGATTAAAAAGAACAAATTTCCTCATTTTTATTCTGACAAATGATATTATTTTATGTGAATAATTTTCATGACCCACTGTACATGTGACATTTATTCACCCTCGCACAGCACCTCATGACCAACCACACATAAAATGTTCTTAAAATTATCGTATCAGTATCATATCAGTTGTAGCAAGGATATACTCTTGCAGGCACAGATGGTGTCATTCCAGTGCAGTCCTTTGGCCACTGCTGAAGGTATTGTCGGTACCTTCCGTCAGTGTGCTCGCTATCAGCAGGACAAGGACCTGGACAGGTTTGCCTCCATCGTTGTTCTGGATGAGGTTGGTCTGGCAGAAGACTCACCAAGGATGCCACTCAAGGTAAATCATCACAAAGCTGCAACACATTCACATCCAGAAGCTGATAAGATTTGCCAGAAAGTAATGTGAGAGCTGATTGAATAAAGATATCTGTATATATATCTATGTTATATATGATAGTCATTCTTCCTTGTCATTACTGTTTCAGACACTTCACTCTCTGTTAGAGGATGGTTATCAGGGACTTGAAGAAACTGGTCAAGATACGAAGGTTAACAAGGTGTGAAGGCATTTGGGGGCAACGCCTAATGACTACCACTTTTGCACAATAATGATCCATAATTTTAAAAAATTATTTTTTAATTTATTCAGATTAATTTACTATTTTTTTGTTTCCAAGGTTGCCTTCATTGGCATCTCCAACTGGGCACTGGACCCTGCCAAGATGAACCGAGGTATCCTGGTACAGAGAGAAGTACCTGATGCGAAAGAACTTGTAGAAAGTGCAGAGTAAGTACTGACAGAAGTGACCAATGATGTTGAACATTATTCCCTATTTTGACTTCTACTCTGTGTTCCTATGTTAGTTGCCCTTGACTGTGTCAGTGATGGATGCCACCAGTGGAACAGGATATGCTCACTACTTCATGAACACCTGATATGATCACAATATCCAAGTGATTCATAAAAACAAATGCTTATTATATAGTTAGAAATGCACTGTGGACTTTGTTTCAAGATGCCTTGTGGTTCTGGAAAGCCTATCATATATTTTTTTTATGCATTAAACATGCAGAAGAATGTGAACCATTCAGTATGATGTAAGGTTCTAAAGTTTCTAATTGGATGCAATCAGCTGGTTGACAAATTTTCCTTCTGCGAGGCACTGTCAATTTAACAGGATTCTATTCCAACACCAAATGCTTATTCAGAAGTAATTACACGTTTATTGTACTAAACTGCTTTCTTTACATTTCTAGCATTAGAATTGATAGCAGTTTGATGCACTCATGAGTAATAT